GGCGCAGGTATTGACAAGGGAATAATTAGCTTTATACTCGGCTCAAGCCTCTGGGCATTCCAACGCTTTGCCCTGACAGTTTGTTAAAAAAAAAAACAGACGAGGAAAAAATCTTGGAAAATTTGCATAGAACATCAGGTTTTTAACAACGGAAAATTTTCCACAATGAATTTCACGTTTAATCATGAACGATAAAAGCAATTTTTCTAATATAACAAAAAAAAAGCTTAATAAAAATATCAAATGTGATTTCAAAGTTGCGTATGAAAAAATAATAATAAAACATCAAACAAAGCTATAAATAGATTTGGAACAATTGGAATAAACATTCAGTAACTCGGGCTTTTTCCCTGGTTGTTTTTATTAAAAACCAAGACCGGTTTTAGTCACGGCCTGCGATCTTATTTCATGAGCAAGAAAAATAAAAATAAAAAATCAGAAAATTTAAAAACCATATTTTTTAGCATAACAACGAGGAAAAACCTGAGTTCTTCATTTCCATGATCATCTCCTTGAGTGTCAATTTCTTCAAGCAAACATATATTAAAGTAAAAAATTTAATTTTAAATTTTGAATTTCAAGATTAAATTTTTCTGTGTATTTTAGCAAGCATGCATAAATTCTGTGTTAATATTATAATGAAATAGGGAATCAAATGAACAATGTTGAAACACTCTTATTGCCGCCACTGGAAAGCATCCTCTCTTAAAATTGTCTATAAATAACTGATCAAATGAGAAATTTGAAATTGGTCACTAAAATCAACTGGGTCTGCATGAAATCAAGCACTTGCAGCGAAGCTTAAAATAAACAGAACACTGAGCGATATTCCCACAAGTCTTTAAAGCAACATGCTGCACTACTTTGACGTTCCCAACGCCCCGGGGTCATTAATAACGCAGCCCTTGCCCTGAACGTCAACATTTGACGCAGCAACTTCTGTTTGGTCGTCGCCTTGTGTGCTAATAACGTAGCACTGGTTTGTGTGCGAAACTGGCAAATATTTTGCGTTCTCCTCGCGATGGTCGTTTTAATTAGAGTGGAGGGAGCTGTTCTGGTTTTTTGTGGCAAATTCAATCGCCGGTGTTTGAGTACAATGCCTGACGAGCCGTGAAATTGGTGCAGTATCCCTGATGACTCCAACGCCTGTTTCCCTTTTTAATTGATTTTGATTTTTTTCTATAAACAATTCAAACACACCCTACTTCCCTGAAATTTTTTTTGTATTTACTGAACATGGTGCTGTTTTTTGAAAACGTATTTCTTTCGTTTGAAATTTTCCAGTTTTTATATCTTCATTATTTTTCTAAAATGGGCTTTTATGATTTGACAGTAAAAAGCATGCAAATATCAATTTAAGTTTCATTTATTAATAAAAATATTTATAATAAAAGCAAAACTAAAGCTAATAAAATTATTTACAATTTTACAAATAAAATAATTCAGTATATTAAATTATTTTAAATTCCATTTTTATTGAATAAATTTTGTAATACCGTTAAGATTATAGTAGTTTTTTCGCCCATTATGCATCCTAATACTCAATATGTAAAAAAGAAAATCAATAAAAATTAAATAAATTGTCTGCATTGGTTATTTATTCCTATGTAAATAAATTATTTCTTTTTAGTGGACTTCAAATAAATACTGTGATATATTTTATTACTACTCATTTTATATTAATGTTGTAATATTAATGTTTACTTTTTGCAAAGATGCAAAATAAAATCTTGAATTTGTTCTTCTATGTTCTTCCATGAAAATAAACATTTTTTTTTTAAATTTAGAATTTATATTGGTAAATTTCTCACTTTAATTACGCACTATTTAAAATACACATGAAACGAAATTAAAACGAAAATCGAAAAAGCGAATTAATAGACCTTGTTCCGCGACTTTGTTGAAATATCTGTCCATAAAGAAAGAATGCGCAGAAAAATATTTGGAGGGAAATAGGATATCCTACTCAAACGCAACGCAGGGCACTATTGAAAAGTTGGTGTTTATTTGACCAAGACTGACGTGACTTGGAGCTAAGTAGTTAATGCACTTGGTTCCAAACTGGTAGTCGAGTGAGTGATTTTGCGAGTGCTCTTTCTCGGGTCGGGTTGCAAGTTTGGACAAACACAATGAGGGCTGGTTCTGCTCTGGCGAACGGGATCTCGATTTAAGTGGTTTCCGCAACTGTTGTCTAGCGAGAAATTCAGACCTGAATTGAGACCCGTGCAGATCCATTACAGTAGTTAATGGAAAACTCTGCCGGCGGTCCTCGCAGATTGAATTTCATATACGTACAACACAGCCAGAGTAGAGCTTGTTTAGTACATTAGCCAATCAGACGCATTATGCATGCATCAGTTTGCATTCGCTGGAGATTCATTTGCATTTGACATACATTCAAATAAAGTCAACGTTCCACCAGTGATTGCATTAAAAACTTTGTTTGTTTACTCGCGAGTTTATAAAAATGAGGAACTTTTTTTAAAGTTTATCATTGTGTCTGCTAATGAATTGTTTATAAAAATTGAAATAAAATTAATTCATAATATGTTGGTGCAAATTGAAAAGTTTGTGTTCAAAATTTAATTTGCAAAAATTTCAAGTTAATTCAGAACAAAAATGAAAAACTCTACCGCCAGTTGAAAGCAATAAATGGAAAAACCACGTCCAAGTGCTACAGAGAGATTTTTTTATAAACAAAATTCAATTTAGATTTTTTTCCACAAAATGTCAACTGCTGCCGTATTCAAAAAGTTTCCATGCAAAACAGAGTCATTTGTTATTTTTAGCTGTCAGATTGAGGTTTGCCATTTTTTTATTGCTCACTCACTCTCGGACCAGTAATTCCTCGATGCCAGATGCAAATCACAAGCTCGACGTGCACCACATGCAAATCATCGTCGGTCAGCTAAAAGTAAATGCACCAAAGCGGAGGCAGCGATTGAAAGCATCCGCTCCAGTTGGAAAAGCGTCGCTCTTTCGCGGAAAGCCTTGTGTAGCAAAAACCTCGATTTTTTTGCCCTGCTTTCCTTTCCTGATTTGCCAGGCAAACACAAGTCGGCGTGTCAAACGCAGCCGCTGGCTGTGGAAAAACCGACAGCTTGTTAGTTAGCAGGTGAATCAGCAAAAAGCAAGCGTTCACCTTCCTTCCAGCCCGCAGAGTTTCTAAACCTCGGCTGCCGAAAGCGTGTTTTTTTTAGCACCGCCAAGCAGTGGCTTATTTGAAAGTCTTCCCTGCTTTTTGGGCTAATTAATATGCTCTTTGAAAATCACAAGCGTGGAAACACCGAATTCGTGCCTCCAAGCTTTGCATAATTTTAAAACAACATTTGGATAACCTGCTCTTTACAAATATTAAAATGTATTATTTTTCACCACTTTTATTCAAGTTGAAATTAAAAATAACTTGGTTGCATATTTTGAAATGTTAGATTTTGGAATTCCTCCTGAATTTTGATAAATTAAGTTATTAAGAAAAGAAAAACACATTGAGGTGGTGTGTCTCAAATTGCTAAAGAACTATAACATAATTAAATTGTCTTATTTAATATTTTTTTATAAATTGTTTATGATTTATGATGCACTATACAGGAATTTGAAAATAAGAAAAAATTTACTTCATTAATAAGAAATTTCAATCATTCAGAACAAAAGAAAAATAAATGCGCAACAATGAAAAAGTTGTGATTTTTGCATGTTGCATAATTATGTATTATAATTAATAGTTTCTGCAATATAATGAAATAAAATTTGTGTCAAATACTCATTGAATCATCAATAAAATATTATTAAAATTGACGTTATAAAATAAATATATATAGCAAAAGGTTTTTTGTGCACATTTTTGCACTCACTAAATTTCCCCCTCCGGAAGCAAAGTGCGAAACGACACACAGCACGTTTTTCACCCTCTCTTTTGCACACAAAAAGTAAGCGGCCCGTCTCCTTACTTTTTTTTTCTTCCTTTCGCTCTTTTTTATCGGTGTATCGATGTCTGGAGGCCGCAGTTTCCCCATCCACATGTAATTCGCTTTTGATGCTTTTTCGCTCGGCACTTTTGCACTCGCCTACGATTCTTTTATGGCGCTGCTCACGCCTTCCTGCGCGACAACCAAAGTGCAAGGGCTGCCGGGCAAAATTGTCGGCCTGCGATATTATGTACTTGTGTAGTGAGTGTGTTCGCTCTCTCTTTTTATGGCCAGCGCCATCACATTCATATTACAACCGGGCGACACAACCACTTTCGAATGCTGTGACCTTTGCCGGCTGCTCCCGAAATGTCCTGCCAGATAAGCAAGAGACGAGCACCGCAAACGACAATGCTGCGTTTGATGTGCCGCCCGCGGGGCCACCCTTATCTAATTGGGCGACCTTATCAGACTATGTATTGGGAGTGGAAGAGGTTGAAACAAAATGAAATTTCGGCGAATGGGCGAAAGTGAAAAGCATTCAAATTTGATGGAGTCTGCGGGAATAGGGAATATCGTTATCTTTGTTTTGTTTTGTTTGTTCCACCTATTATATAAAATATTTATGAACTATAGGGGAGAAATACCTGTAAGATATAAAGATTTACTATTAGATTATTTTAATTTTAAAACATGTCAGGCTCTACTAACGAATTGCAACGATGATAAATAAGAAATAATATATCAAAAATGTTTAAAACTAAATTCAAATATGTTAATCAATTTTTGTAAATATTTACAAATTAAATTAATCGCTAAAAGGTTTAAAAAGATTGCTGTTTTTTTTTTAAATAAATTAAATAATAACTAAATAAAATAATTATCAATGAATTAGTTATTTGGAAATTTTCACAGTAAAACCTAAAACCAAACTTTCTAAAAGTATGTGCCATCGTCGACTTTTAATCTTATTTTGAGAGGAAAAAAGCACGACGACACTTTATTGGCACTTTTTTGCAGGCGCAGTGTGTCCCATTCCCCTGTTTAATGGTGCGTCCAAAAGCCTTAATTCCCGCTCGTATTTTGTTCCAGCAGGGTGACGATCCTCTAGAATTGGAGCTGCACAGGCTTCGAGAGCAACCCGATGTTGAAACGGAGCCGCGGCAGGAAGAAAGGGCTAGAGCCGAGGCGCAAAAATCGCTTTATGAAGGTAAACAGAATTTTTATTGGATTCCCCATCGACTCCCGTTCGGCGGGTCTCAATTGCTTTTATTGGAATTTTATCACTCTTGCCGCTCAAGTTGTTGAGCGAGAGGCGGCCGCTTTTTTTCGCTATCTCTGCACCAACCACTCGGGTGAGCAGTGCAGATATTGAACGGAGAGTCACACGGGCAAAATTTATAAGAATATTTTGCCATCAAATTTTTTACTTAAAAGTTAGTCAATTTTGATACTTTTGCCTAAGCATGTTTTATTTTTAGTAAACCCCACAAAAGTAAATTTTTTAGTTGATTAACTATAAGTGAAATTATTTTAATTGTACTTATTTTTTATATTTAAATTGCTATAAATTCAGTTTAAAAAGATTCCTCCAGAAATATGTAATTCCTTTAATAAAATAAATTCATAGAAGTATTAGTTAATTGGAATAGTTGAATTGAGCAGAGACACCGAAGAAAATGATGGTTTCAGATTTTAGAAAAGCGTATCTCCCTTCAGCATCTGCAACGGGCACAGTTGTTGGTGGTGTATCGATCTACTCGTTCTGAAAATGATGGAATTCCACGTTGTGGAAAATAAAATTTGAGAGCGAATTCGACGATCACAATAGTCGACAAGGCAGGAATTTTCCAATGTTGTGTATTGAGTTAAAAAAAATTGGTTCGGCGCATAAAATGGCTTGTAACTGCCTCCTTTCGCGGCGGCAACTGCCGTATCGATTTTCAATTTTCTGACTCTTTTGACACATCCCGCGAAAAAATTACATTCTCGAGGGGGAAACGACGCCGCCTCTTCCGTTCCGATTGAGCGCTAATAAGACGATTATTATTTGACTGCTCTGCTTTTCCACCGCAAACCGCCAAAACCTCGTTTATCAAGAAACGCCGTGTTTAAGCAGCTTGTTCGCCGCCCCACAATGGGGTGTCGTCAACAGCTGCCGTCAATTAGGACGCCAGAAAGGGCCGAGCAGGTTTCGGCAATCTCGCCGGCTCTGCCTTTTTGCGGTCAAAACCTCGCCGTGGGGAACAACTTTGCCAATTGTCTCTGACGCAGAAATCAGTTCGGCGGTCTCGGGTGATTTGGCGAATTATGCACAAGTCGTTTGTTGAAATGAGTTTCGCCGCAACTGGTCCGTCCGCAAAGTTGGTTTATCACAAATTGATGGAAACTTTATTACATCGATTCACTTAAGTTTGACTTCAAAAGCAATCAATTATTATAATTTTGTAAATTTACCCTAAAATATAGCAAAATTTGTTTTTAAATTTACCATTTATGTATGTATTCCAAATCACTATATAAATCATGGAGTGATAACGTTTTTAAATTAATCATACAATTAACCAAATTTTTTGAAAACCATTCATTTAAAACTTGTGTAAGACCCAATCAGTTGTACATTTCTTAGCCTTTTTATAATTTTCAGTTGAATCTTTTATTTTTAATTTTGAAAGTTTATCAAGAAGTATTTTTGGATAATTTAATTTTGATTAGTAGTTTGAAGTTAACCAACTCCTTTCATGGCAATAATTTTCTGAAGATGAGTTTTATTTATTTCTTATGTATCAATTTCTATTTTTTTTTTATGCTTTTATTACATTTCTATTGATATTATTACTGTATGATAATATTGCTGTAAAATAGCATTAGTTGAATTTCCCTTATAACAATTAAATAATTTTTTTGCAATGCATGCTTATTAGCCTAATTTTAGTTTCTATAAAGATTTTAATTCAATTTTGATAAATTTGTTTAACCAAATTCATAGCATGAATAAACAAAACAGATATATCGATGAATTTTCCGCCACCAGCAGTGTCAAAGGTCCCTATTGCAGTCAAGGACACGAGCAATTCCCCTCGTAAGCCCCTCGCAGCTTCAGTGTTTGGCGCCGCAAATAAAACTGACTCTTTATTTGGTGGCCCATAATAAGCGCGAGAGAGCAGAATAGTCAGGGGTGCGCGTATATTTATATTTCTGGTGGCGGGGTGCGCGTGACCCGACTGCCGATGCGTCCTCTCGCGTTGTTTCCCAAACGTGCCATTTAATTAAAAATTTGTGCCCTGTTCCAGGTTCAAACGGCGGCGTCGCCCTCGAGGAACAGTTGGCGCGACTTGGCGAGAAAAACTCGCGAGTCGTGAACGAGCCCCAAAACTCCGAGGAAGAGCAAGAAGATGGAGAGGCTGGAGTGGAGGAGGACGCGAGTGAAGCCACCGAATCCAGTTCTGCAGAGGAAGAAGAGGACGAGGAGGGCGATGGGGATTACGACGATGAGGTTAATAGATTTGTGCGCTTATTTTTATTATAAATTTTTCAAGTATAACAAAAATTAATACGTGAAACCAAACGCTTAAAATTTCTAAATAAGGGCTTTGATTTTTTAGAGAAATTTAAATATATTTATTTAAAAGCAAAACTTACTAAATTTAAATTAATAATTAACAAATAAATTATTTTTTCCTTCTCTTTTGGAATTTTTTAATGAATTTTAAAAATTTATTCAATGTACATATACGATGTATACTAATAAACGGCAAGTGAGTTGCGAATAGGTCCATACAAGGTGTGTAATTTTTTGTCTGGCACACTTTTAGGATTCCGGCAGCCTACCTTCGACGGTGCGTCCCTTGGAGTCGCCCACCCCATCTCAAAGGGCCCAGCCCTGGGTAGCAGCACGCACGGTGCAACTCGGCAGCAACGAAAAGGGAAACAATTACAGTCGGCAACCAGCGAAACAAAACGACGCTCCCCAGGTGCGTATTAAAAAGTGAGAGCTGCGAGCGAAAAGAGAGAAATGATGAAAAAAATAATACGGCCTGGGGCGAAAAGAGGGTGGATGAAAGCGACGAGCAACTCGCTCTTTTATAGTTCTTTATATTTTTTGCCTTTGTTCCGCTGCAGAATGATGATGACGGTGATGAGTCTGGCGAGCGCCTTTTCAAAATGATGGTCGACCTGGCAGAGCACCCGGCGCAGTGGCAGAAAGTTCACCAGGAGCTGCGTAAGTTGGCTCACATTTATTTTATTTTAATGGCCTTATTCAAACCTGGAGACGGAATGTGATTATTTTTTATAATTTTATTATTTTCTTTTAATTAATGAAGATCAAGTAATTTAGGGAGTTGATACAGTGAATTTAGAATTCTAAATTAAATTACGTGCCTTAATTACATTCAAAAGAAATTGGTAGCAACTATGAAAAATTAATCAATCATTAAATAAAATATTGTCAAATTATAGAATTTCCATAAAAACCATGTAGACAGATCAATTAGTCCAAAGATGTTTATATTTATCCGCATCTTCTTAAAAACCAGAAAAGGCTTTTCTTGTTGTGACGTTGATCCCCTCAAGAACAATGAACATAGGACCGTGAAAGGAATGGAGGATCAGAGAACCGCAAAAGAGTTGCCCACGTCGTGATAGGGAAGTGCGGAAACGAACCCAATTTTTCGCCAGCTCACTTTTTCCCGATTTCGCATTCGCTCGCCCAAACAAGTTAGTCGGGCGGCGAGAGTGAAAACAATGGCCGCACTGAGACTCCCCGAGGTAATTTCAGAAGCAGCAGCCGCGCGTCCCGCCGTCGCAATCCAATCCGGCGTGATCGATTTTCGTTAAAAATCCCGCTCTCGCGCCATAAACTCGACTAGTTGGGAAGTTAATTTGGAAATAAATTGCGTTTTTTCCGGCACGTCTCGGCCAAAAACTCTCTCAAGAATATACTCCCCTCGATTGGGGAAGTGCTAGAAGGCACTCATGATCACATCCGACTGGTGGAGATTTATTGCGCGCGAGGGTAACTGGCCAAGTTTAGGGAAAGGGAAAGGGCGTGAAAATTTCAGAATACTGCGCTAATGCGCTTATACGAGAAAATTAATTGAATTTGGATTTTTTTTTTAATTTTTGTCGAGTTTTTGTATCTTTATATGCAAAATCGAAATCAGAATGATTATTTTATTTAAATCTACTGAAGGTCTGAGCATTTTTTTTTTATGTTAAAAGATTTTGTGCATTGAAATAAAAATAAAATTATTTATAAAATGAGAACATTTCATTTCAAAATTTTGGGGCCTTTTGATCTGCTGTTTTATTTCTCACTGCCCTTCTCATTCAGCTGGTGCGCCTTAGATTTTTGCTTCCTCCATATATAGAACACTACTCGGTACTCCCGCCAGAGTTAATCACGTAAGCTGCGAACTGATGCGTAAATGTTTGATCCCATCGGGACAAAGAGATGAGACTTGGCTTTTATTTCGGCTGCTCTCTCTCCTCCAACTCTCATCGGTACGTTGCGAAAAAGCGGGCCGTGTGCGGCGGCCCATTACTTCATTTATTCCCACAGAAACTTTCCGACCAACCGACGCGCGGCGGCTCCATGTTATTTTATAATCATGCAGAGCGCGCAATTTTCATTTGCGATATTGATAAGCTTTTTGATTAAATTTGCTGAGATGCGCGAGAGTGGCTTTCATCGGAATGAAAAACATCGCTTTTTTAGCTGGGGTAGAACACACCAAATATACGCAGTTCGCGATCGGTCCGCAAAGGATTAAAAAACGTAAACAGGCTGTTACTGTTATTGGTTTTCGAGGCGGAACTAATCAACTTGTGCTGTTTGAAAAGATAAAAAGGAACTTTTTTTTCAATATCTGCAGCAAAGCATTGATCTTTTGGCATAATGAAAGTTGTGCTTAGATTATATAGGTTCTGAAAAATGCTGATATTTGATATTTGTCTTTAAAAAAACCGGCTCGGCTGTCTTTTTACACATTCAGGAATTAATTTTTGAAGCTCCTGCCTTTTTTAATTGATTCTAAATTCATAGTATTTTTAAGCTAAACACTTTTTTTATTATATTATTTTAATTAAAACTCTTAAGAGCAAATAAATTAAAATTTTCGCTCAAATTTTTTTTGTTCTTTTATTTTTCAGAGCAACTCGATAAGGAACTTGTGGCTTCTCGAAAGTTGGCGGCGACTGCCAACTCCTCGTCATCCACCCCCGTAAAGTTGAGAGAAGGGGTGGTCGCTTTGCGTCACCCCAATTTGCGACTTGTGCCTCGCATCCCTGACACCCTTCTGCTGGAGAACGAGATGGACAAGGCGCGAGAGCGGTATTTGCAGTCGCTACAGAAGTTGATAAAAACGACGGCCCGACCGACAACGACCACAACCACCGCGGCACCTTCCACCCCTGCCAAGAGTGGCCAAGCGGAGCACCATGGCGGAAAGCACACACCTCAGTTTGCTTATCACCGAGTCACCTCAAGTCCTTACAATGAACAAGGGTATGACTGTCCTAGTCTGTGAACTAATTATTATAATAAACAATTTTAAACGCCATAATAGTATAAGGAGGACATGAAATCTAAAATTTTTTTATAATAAATAGCAATAAAAGTTTCACATTATATTGGATTTTATGAATATTAACTAAATGAAATCTTTAAAAACAATTATTTTCATTCTTGAAATTATATTACAGTATCATAATATAATGGAAAATATGTATAATGAACATTTTATTATTAAGCAGAATTTTATTTATGTAAAAAAAAATTTACTTTCTCTCTTCATTACAAATAAATTTATAATTTTAATTCATTTCAATTTATGATTTATAGGACAAGCTCCTCACAAGTTCATCACTCGCATGCGTTTGTGGCAGTATCTGACGTGACCCCTCCAAAATTGAGAGGAAAAAATCTTAAGGAAGTGGAGCCTCAAAAGGTGAAATATTTCCGAAAGATTCCCAAACAGGAAACTTCATGCTGTCTGTTTCTTCTTATCTTTTGAAGGTTGCTTCCCAATTTGCGATTGATGCGACAGAAAACGCGAGTGGAGTGAAAGCGAGACTGCCACTGCACAGGGTCTCCTCGTCCGCCAGTGCCCCTGCCAGCACCGGCTCATTGGACGAGCCTGACACCCCTGTGCCTGTGAACATTTCTGTTGACGACGAGGAGCTGGAAATCGAGCAGCTGCTCCTCTCCCTGCGAACGCCACCCATTAAGGGCCAATGGAACCATCAGAGAAACAAGGACTGGGTCAGAGTACGTATGAAAATCCTGAAAAGGTCAAATTATTTTATTGATGGCAATGATGCCGTAATTTATTCTACATATAAGTTTTGATTAAAGAATCACTATTATTGTCAAAATATTCGATTGAAATTTTGAAAGCAAAATTAATAACATCAAACTGATTTCAAATTCCTACGTCAAACAATTTATTTTATGAATTTTGAAGCTTTTTTTAACTGTTTAAATTGGGAGCTATAAAATATTTTTTTTTTTAAATTTTAGAAGTTACAAGAATATTTTGTTTTTGGTTTGAAAGAAAATTAGCGTCTGCAAAAATTTTGAATTTTTTTAACTAGTTCTGAAAAGCTTTTGCTTTTAGCTACATAATTTTTTTATCGTGTTGGTTGAATAGGGCTATTAAAGACAAAAGTGTCAATTAAATTTGTCAGCAAGCGTACTTTATCCTTCAAGGGCACTTGCACGGTGTTTGATTTCAGGAAAAACTGATGCTCCTTGAAAGGCTTCACTCACACCTCAGGCAAAAGTGGCAAATTGACGACGGCGTCGAGAGACCGGCGTCTGACGAGGCGATGCCACCAAAAAATCACCCCCTAAGTGCCCACAGCCAGCACCACTCTCAGTCGCCTTTGAAGCGCCAGTGATTGTCTTCACTCAGCCTGATCACCAGAGAGGACCAATAGACTTGAGGATAACGGACGCTAGTTGGCAAATCGCGGGGGTGAATTTTCAAAATGCTCTTTTGCCACATGAATTGAAAAAAATTACAATAACGATTTAGGATTTGAAAAATATATTCCCATTTCGAATTTAGACAGTGAAATTTTATACATAAAATATAAATAAATATATATTTTGCGAAATGAAGTGGAAGGAAATCAACTTAGCTAACAGTTAGACATGCTGCCAGAATAAAAACTACTTAAAATCGATGTGAGCCTATTTGTAAATAATTCAAATCTAAGTGTTTCAAACCGAATTAAACTGTACCGAGAACGCTCACCACTGTAAACTGAGAATTAATAAAACTGTTGAATTTATTGTTGATCAAGAAAAATTAACATGTAGAGGCCTCAACCTGATGTTGGCATTGAATAGCGCAGTGTCTTTGTGAAAATAAAAATGCTACTTGACGCCCCCATCAAATTAAACCAAAGGAGATTAAAGTTATCATATAGCATTTTTAACATTTGGTGTTCCATGTATCATTTAATAAATGACGGCTATATTGTTAACAATGGTTTTTATTATTGTTGAATGAAAACCCAAAATCTTATTCTATTCTCAAAAATTTACGAAATTTAATTTCTAAAGCGTTACAAATAGTAATTTATAAACTTTTTAAGCGTTGCTATATAAACATAGACAATTATTATATCCCTATTTTATTTATATGCAGATTGCTACAGGTACATATTGTAATTAATTATCCTGTAAATTAGGCTCAGGCTACTACTCCATGCACCTCTCTCATCTCCTCCTCCTTCAAACTAATTATTTCCTCCCTGTTGACAAAGTAGAACGACGGCTGTCTTCCTTTCTAAAATTTTGTTTGCTCCAAGTTAAATCAAATGTAAAAAAGATGCATACCAAATCCTTGGTAACCCTTTTGGCACCGGCCTTGACCAAAATCATGCTCAGCTTCTCTGCATCGTCCATTGCCATCGCGTAATGCAACGCCGTTCTTTCGAGCTGAAACAAAAAATCTCACAATCAGCTTTGAAATGCGACCTTTTCTTGCAGCCTCTGCACTCTTGGAAAAAAAAAATAGAGGAAGATGAAATTTCAAGCAATCGTATAACTCACATTGTCTCCGGCGGCGAGACAAATTGGAAACTTGATCGCGATGAACTCGACGATTTTCTCTTGCTCAGTGAGGACAGCGACGTGAAGGGCGCATCTGCCGAACTTGTTGCGCGCCACCGCCAGCCGGCTCGAGTTGAGCACCTCGCGCACTTTGCCCAAATCACCGCTCCTTATCGCAGAGTGGATCCAGTCGCGACGACTCTAATGACACACCGAATTTCCTCCCCATTTATCTTTTGTCCTCTGTATCTATTTTTTAACCAACTTACTTCAAAAGCCGAGATGGAATTTAAAAAGGCAGCGCTTTCCTGCACATTAGCATGCGTTACTAGGTCTATAATTCCGACCCCTCTTGAATTTGCAATATCCAAAATGTGATCGTATCCGTCTAATAGAAGTTCCTCTAATCTCGTTGTGTCGCCTGGTAGGAGAAATTGAAAAATATTACCTCATGCAGATTAAAATAATTATCGGATAAAAAAAAATTGTAGCAATAAAATTATAAATTAAAATAAAATGTTATTTTGGGTGCTTGAGCTAAATTTTTTTCAATTCTATAAAAAAATTATTCATTTGAATAATCAAATTTTTTATTTATAAAATGATAAAATTGATAGCTAAAATAATTTAATTATTGCTGCTAAATAAAATTTTTTGATTGGATTGAAAAATATATTAATTTGTAATGAATAATTTTCTATGGAAATCTTCAAATGTGAAAGAATAATAAATTGATTAAATTTATCTAATGGAATTTTTGTTTCCTCTGTTTTTCTCCCTTCTTTTATTAACAAAATTTTTTCAATTCACTCTTAACCATTTAAAAAGCAATCACAAATGACTCTGACTCTATTTTAGAACTTGAATAAATAATAAAAAAAATAAGATTTTCTTTTCATTTCAGTTTTTTTATTTTTAATGCATAAGCATAATAATAAAAATAAAAAAACTGTCTGCTTTGCTTTCAATTATAATAATTATATGTTAAATTTAAAATATCATGAAGTCAATCTTGCACTATAAACATTCGACCTTTATCAACCTCACAAAATTCATTCAATTCATTCATTAATTTTTCCATATTCTTCTTTCTCACCTTCCATTGCAAGGTGCAGAACCCATTCATCAATATCCCTGGCGTTCTCGGGAAGACCAGCTTCTAGGGCGACGTCCCTGGGAGTCCGGTACACCATGTCCCGCTGTCCAACGCTCAGACCGGCCTCCTTGAGGATCTGCGCGAAGGCGTTGCGGCTGTGCGAGCGGACGGCGGCGAAGTGCAGCATGCTCTGGCCGTACTCGTCCTGCCGAGACAATAGTAGCAGAGAGAAGGGCAAGCGAGGGCGACTTGTTACTCTGTTGGTGCTGCCGACGCCACTCGTCATCGAGCCGGCCGTCTCGAGGCGCCGATCGCGGCTCTGCGGCATCGGCGGCGCCGTCAGTCTGCCATTGTCCTCCTCATCGGCTTCCTCGGAGGGACTGAATGGGACGGGAGGGCCCACTTCGGGTGTCTTCACGCCACCTGACTCTTGCTGCGAAAACAGCAATAATTTTGTAACTTCTGAAGGATAATTGTACTGACTAAATTAACGAAAATTCAACTTTCTAAATACTCAAAATAATTTACTTCTAACTTTCTGCTTAAATGTTTCACTACTATTACAATCAACTTCTAATCATAGAACCAATAATAAGCTATTAAAAAAAGAGTACTGAGTTATAGCAACGCAAGTCATTTTATTATTTCAAGTTCAATTAAAAATATGAAAACAATTTAAAAAATTTCTACATTTTCTTTGCTTGTAGAATTATTTAATTGCCTGCTATACATCATACTAAAATACAACAAAAATTCAAATTATTAGGCTGCACTTCAGTTGTAAAAAAAGATAATTCTTTAATTAAGGAATGTCGAGAAATACATTATAGTAATGAAACATGAAGGATTTTATTCGTTATTGACTGGAAATTTCTTTGATAGAATTGTTAATTCATATCTCCTAATAATGTTTGATGCACATTATATAATTTTTTTTTAATAAATCTGTGAAAATTTCATGCATTCTGAAGAGTAATTAAAAATAACATTAAATATGTTATAAAAAGATTATTTTAAAAAAAGTGTTAGAAAATAAAATTGAACAAATTTAATGTGAAAAAATTTTAATGATAGTATATTTTGTAAAATTAAAAAATTTTGTATTCTTTTATTGTGTTAATGAATAAAAAATTCATTGTGTAAAATGATCAATCAAATTTTTTTACACATTGTATCAAAATTTACATTCAACTATAGTACTATTGCAATTCAAATAAAATAGTATAAGATTGATTTAAGTTTCAACTGTACGTACTGTACCTTACCAACTAATATAGACCTAAAGTTGCATTGTCTTTTAATCGCAAACATTCATACCAATTTGGAAGTCTGAATTTTGCATTCTGGTGGTGCGGTGTGGTGGACATGCGGCCATGCAAAATTGCTCTCACTTGGGAGATGCTACCTGCTCGAGGCTATCAAGCAACGCGTTGAGCTTTTTTGCATCGCTTTTTGCACTTTTGTTCGCATATTGGTGGAGGATATTTGCCAGGTAGGAAATTGGGTTCTGGGGACGCTTTTTTGATACCTCCTTCAGCGCCTCGACCAGCGGCTCTTGCAGCGCTGAAAACCAAAGAGTGGACATGCTTTTTGTAGAGAGAAAAAAATGTATGCGAATCACTCGGGAGTGTTTCCTTTGTTTGCGTGTGTGATCTCTGTTGGACGAGTGGAAAACGCATCTCTTGTTCTTTCTGTGTGTGTGTGTTTGGAGAAATGCCAAAATTCGTATAGCAGAGGAAAATTGTATGTGTATTTGTGAAGGAGCAACGAAAATATTTTTCCGCGTCTTGGGTGGACCAATTTATTTTTATTTACCTTTTCCGTCAAAGTGAGCTGTCACCGGCGGCAAAGAATTTTTCACTAGAATTTTCAGAAAGGTCAGCTTATGATTAAGCATAAAACTAAAAAAAAAATACTAATAGCTAAAAAAATAAGGATTTCTAAGTTCTATATAAAAAATTCTCTACGATAACAGCATTTTATTTTGCTATACCAAGAGACGGTTCGGTACCAAAAGTCATGTCCCTTGGGTCGGGTTCAAGCATGTCCATGGTGAGGGCCCCAGCGGCCGATGTGGCCAGGGTAGCAGTCGGGTCCATCGGGTCGAGGGCGGCCAGATTGGGGTCGCCGCCCAGTTCGAGCAGAAGTTGCGCGTGATTCCGTTTCTGCTCGTGGTGAAGCTGGTAATCCAAGGCCGTATGTCCACGCTAGCAATAAGATAGTGAAATTTATCAATTTACCTTGTACCATATTATAACAATTATTTCCTCTAATTCTATAGTTTAAATTTTAAGTACATGGTTTTTTTTTACTAAAAATTGCATTTGAAAAAAATTTATTGAAACATGTATTAATTAGACAAACTTTAAGACTCTATTTTAGGATAAGATACAACGAAGTGAGTAAAATCATATAAAAATATAATATTCTTCATTCGTCTACCACAAATTTTCAGAACAAATTATGCAAGCATTTCTTTGTTACAATTATTGTTCACTGTTATTGCCGCCAAAAAGACACAAAACCCGCCGCCCTCTGGCGTCTTCCTGTAAATATTACCTTATAATTACTCACAATGGAAACAAGGAGTGGGAGGGTCAAATGGAACAGACCGCAACAGACGTTTTTACTGTTTACTGCTGTTTACGTTCAGTTTTTAATCGCGTTTAGGTGACAAGGTGAACATATCAAATGAAGTGCCTGAAATATCGCTTAATCCTATCCTAATCGAGACCGTGATGAACATTCGGAAACTTCAGATTTCATCTTTCACTACAGAGATGTATCAAGGTGGTGCATTAAGGTAATAGATTGTAATTCCAAGTATAATTACAGTGTTGAGGGTTGAGGGTTCTAAAATTAAAATTAATTCAAAAGCGTACGGAGTGTCTAGATGACCAGCTTAAATTTGCATGAATATTGAATAATGAGAATATAATTTCATATTTTTTCAACAATTTGGAAAAATGTACATGTAGAGGAAAAAATAGAAAAAATATTATCCTATAGTAATTTTTATTTCACTCCATTTTTTTAAATTCTCATCATTTCTAAAAGGAATATAGTAAATTTGAGAAAGAATAAAGCGTAATCTTGTGGTGTGATATTTTTACTTAAATTCACATTATGATTTATTAAAGGACATGCAGTTTGAAATTAATGCGTAATAAAGTATTGTTTGATGTGCTTAAATAAATTATCCTGATAAACTCATGATTTTTCATCATGTTCCTGTTAGAAATATTCGAAATTTAATGATTTCTAGTTAATATTTTTGATGTTTAAAAAATTGAAAATACAAATTAAAAAGAGAGACAGCATTGGAGATTATTATTGCATTGACCACGCATAAGAAGAATTATTGATAAAAATTAATTTTTCCTACCATATCTCGTATGTTGACGTCAGCCCCGAGAGAGGCCAGAATTCCGTAGACGCTGCCTCTGTCAGGTAGGACTGCCGAGTAGTGAAGGGCCGTGCGTCCTGCCTGGTCCTGCGCCTTGAGACTCTCAGGGAAGCGGCTGGCCAGGTACCGCACCACCGTCATCTGCTGATGGAGCACCGCTTTATGCAGAGGGGTGGCGCCGTACTTGTCACGTGATGTGACGAACTTGCGTCGCTCCAAGGCCTTCTGCAGGGCCACCATGTCCCCTGTCTCCGCCGCCTCATGAACCTTCTTGATTTTTGACTGCACAAAAAGGTAGGTGATTTACTTTTAGTCAAATTATAAACCACAACTTTTGTATATCTTAACAAATAATTTAAAAAAATTCAAATTTTGTCAATGCTTAATTTAAATTAATGCAGTATTTATTTCTCTCTTTCAAAATAATTTTATTTTCCACAAAAATAATTGTATACTTACCATGTACTCGGGAACATTTTCCAAAAGACCCTGCACGTAGGGGTTGGTTGAGTGCAGCCCTAAAAGTTTTTCGCCGTGGCCGTCAAGCACCATCTCGGCCAGTTTTTCCGTGTTCTGCTCAGCGACCAGTCGTTTAGCCTCCTCTAAAACGGCATCCACTTTGCTGGGCTTCGGCGGTAAACTTTGAGTTATGGCAGAGTTTTCCTCTGCCACTTTGACGATCGCATCTTGCGTGTTCACAACTTCATCGTAATTTTGCACTTGCGATTGAGTTTCTTCCAGGTAGTCTCGCGCCGTGTTTCCAGTCTAAATTTCAAGATTTTTTTATTATTTATATTTTCAGACAAACAAAAAAAGAATTAATCGCGGGACTCACCGCGTCTTTTGCGTTTTCCGGTGCGCCGTGCGCCAATAAAAGTTGATAGCATGAAATTCCGCGCTCAATGTCAGGACACATTGCTGCGTAATGCAAGGGAGTTCGACCCTCCTAAATTTATTACAATATTATATCAATTTGTCATAATAAGTATAATAAAACGAACAAAAAATTATCTGTTGCTTCTTGAAATTTTCTTGTAAATAATATTGTTTATAAAATTAGTTATTATTAGTTACACAGAATCTAAAGTATAATTATAATCTTTTTGACATTGTTTATAAAAATAGTATAGTGTAAAAAATATAAATTTTAACTTAAAATTTATTAAATGAATTTTTTTATTATTATTTATTTATTTTATATTAATTTTAATTTTACAGCTTTTGTATTTGGTATATAAATAAGTTTTTATTATCATAAATGCTAAAAAATTCATAATATGTGTATCGTAAAGCCTATTTAATAATCTTAATTATTAACTATGTAGTTATCACTTATTAAATTTCCATTTGGCCACCACTTGAGCATATGATAGATATTGATTGTTCTGAAGATTCTAAAATTTAAACTTTTGATATTTGATATTTTTAATCAAACGTGAAAATGAGAATGAGAAAAGTTAAAATTTTGTCACTCCAAGATATTTGTCTTGAATATGTAACAATTTTTTCAATAATTATTGATGGTACTTAAAATCACAAAATGTTGAAAAAAAAATATAAACAATAATTAGCTTTTGCAGCATTCATTTTTCAAATAATTTTTATAGGATTTTTAAATAAAATAGATAGAGGGAATTGAGACTTGCCCAATCAGGAACAGAAGCACCTTGAGGAAAAATCTCCAAAATTCTCAAGGCAACGTCCTCGTTTCCTGCCCTAACGGCCGCGTGTAAGGGTTGCGCACCCTCCTCATCCCTGGCCAAAGCAATCCTCTTGTAAACTCCGACGAGTTCATTCAGTTGATCGAGGTTTCCAGTCCTGGCGGCCGAGTGGATCAATTTCATTGCTTCCTAATTTTTTAAACTTGGAAAGTTAATACATGATCAATTAGCTATTATAAAAATTGTTAACCATAAATCCAGGTGCTCTTGCAACGAATCCTTTAAAATCGCCACTCTTCGGCGAGTTTGAAATAATTTTCAACACCCTCTGACCGCGACCTTCTAGCAGGGCGTCCTCCAGCCGCGCCATGTCCACGTTATTGACCCACTTTTCGATCAGGGGTGCGTGCATGCGAGTGCCGGGGGGTGAAATTGGCCTAACCGGTTTATCCTTAAACCAACAACTTAAATTAGAGTTGAAAAACAGGCAATTTTGATTTCTAATTTTCTACGTGTGTTTTAATGAAAGAATACCGAAGCCAAATCTTCCTTCTTCAGTTCCGCCTCCGCTTTTTCAGGAAGTCTTGCACCAACTTGCTCTTCCTTTTCAATCATTTCCAGCTCCTTTTGAAGAAGCTCCTCGTCCGTGGCAAGGTTCTGAACTCTTTCCAAGGGTGGCGTTTCAGGTATCACCTCCACCCTTTCCTTGACACCCTCTGACGGTTTGTTGACTGTCGAAGTGGTGACCGAAGGGGCAGTGCTGGGCACCGTTGTGGTTGCAAAGGCTGATTGGTTGGGGGTGGAAGCGGGAGCTGTACTTGGCGGCACAGGGGGGTTGAACCGAGGTCTGGTAATGTTGGGGTTGAAGGGGGTGTTGATTCTGCTGATGCCCAAAGGGGTGCGGTTGGACGTGCTCGGCGAAAAGGAGAACGTGGTCGGAGGAGTTTGGGCGATGTCAAAGTCGCGAGAGCTGGGAAAGGCGGTGGCCGCCAGGGGGATGGTCGAAAGGGGTTGCCGACTGACGTAAACGGAAGGGGTCGAAATGATCCTGGTGCCAGACGAGTCGTATACACGCATAGGACTTGTTTGAACAAGGGAGGTGTTCAGGCGACTTCCTGATTGGTCCAGGATTTTCTTCGGACTTGAAGGCAGGTTGAATTTTCCTCCGGAGGTCTCTAAAGGTTTCACTGGACTAGAGGGAAGGTTAAATTTACCCCCCGAAGAGTCAGTTGGTTTAATTGGACTTGACGGCAAATTAAATTTGCCTCCAGAAGTGTCAATTGGTTTAATCGGACTAGACGGAAGGTTATTAAATTTGCCACCGGAAGTTTCCAAAGGTTTGTGTGGACTTTCTGCAGAAATTTTGGAACTGCTGTTGTCTAAGATTGGTTTCTTTTTTGGGATTTGCGGCTGGTAAGCAGAAAATTTCGTCTCGCTGGAGTCAAGTAGGTTTTTCGCTATTTTATTTTGACTTTGTTTTAAGTCCAATTCTTTTGAGCTTTCGTTCTTGGGCTGAACAGGTTTGGGCGGCTGTCTTTTGATATTGGGCAACGGCGCTTTTTCCGCCCTTTTCGGCAGCTGAGGTAGAGGAAGAGGTTCGGGCACCATGTTAGTGGCGATCGCGTTTGGAGCCAACGTGAGCAAGTTCCAATTCCAGCTCGTGGGCAACTTGCTGTGCGCCCTTGGGGCCTCAGGCACGTGGGTCAGCAAGGACGAGTCTATGTGATCATGTGGATGTTGTGCGTAGAACAACGGCGTGTGTCCTTTCTGAAAAATTCATTTTTATATTTAATTTTTAATATAGCATTTAAAAACAAAACTTATATAAATAACATAATGTTAGTATAATAAATATATCAATTATTATTATTATTTTATTTTTCTTTTTGCAAGAAGAAGCCTTTTATAATTTTTAAATACCAATTATGCGTAACATTATTCATTTAAATTACTTTTTAAATATAAATGTAATTTTTAAAAAAAATTATTGTTATGAACTTATTACATTATCAACGCATATTAATTTTTATAGGTTTTTTTTTTTTTAAAAAAAATAAATATTTTACATTTTAACAGCTCTACCAGTCTCAATTACGGTCTGCGACCATTTAATTTCCAATATTTAAATCATTTTAAATTTAAAACCATGACTTATTTTTTCAATCAAATTTTCTTGAGTTGAGTTGAATGGCTAATAGTGGAAGTTAAGCGAACTGAACTAACTTTTGAAAGAAAAAAAAATGTGTAATTCATTTTACCTTATCAGGAGCGTTTTCATCTGCTCCTGCGTCCATGAGAGCTCTGTAAGTAGGGCCATCCGTTTTCAAAAGGGCGGCGTAGTGCAAAGGAGTTCTTTTTGTTTCGTCCGTCGCTTTGTGAGCGTCTGGGAAGCGCGTAAGGATCTCGTGTACAATGTCCACATGGCCGAGACCAGCAGCCTTTTTGTGCAAAAAAGACGTTTTGTAAGAAAAGAATGAAAACCACTCAAATTGAAAGAAAAATTACCTTGTGGAGTGGGGCGAGACCGTTCTTATCTTTACTTATAACTACGTGTTCAGGTACTGGAGGCGACGTTCGCAAACGCCAGAGTTGAATGTTGTCCGTGACAGCAGCACAATGCGCCTCTTTTATCACCGTCTGTGGGTGATTGATACAGCTTAAATAGCCTGCGAGTTTGTACTTTTGAACGTGGGTTTCTTACCAGAATGTAAGGAACTGATTCCAGGAAGCCGCGGACTTTGGGACTGGCGCTGGTTTCGAGCAAAAGCCTGTCGCCGTGGCCTGCCCAAAGCAGCTTTTCCAACTTGCCCAAATCTCGCTCGTGAATCCACTTGCGAATGTGCGCCCTCGTCACGATGACGGGCAGATCTATATTTACATTTAATCATTTTATTTTTCATTCCATAAATTAAAAAAGTTGTAAAAGAATTTTTGATAATAGGGATAATTATATTTTGAATTCAATTTTAGGCATTTTTAATATTGTTATTATTTTAAAAAAAAAAAATCAATCAAACTTGAATTTCGAAGAATGCTCTAGAGCTACATAAAGAAACTTATTATATAATTTGGGCTGCGAATTGTTGGATGTAAGTTCTGACCTTCTTAAGATCGATCGTAAATGTTTCCATTTAATTTAAAAAAAAAAAAAAATATGATAGTGTAGGTTCAATTGATATTAAAAAGAAGGCTAAAGAAAATATTAGGGACGTGTGAATGTGAATAAATCAATGATGTCGAGTTAAATAGGTCGTTTTCTTATAATATACTATCAATGAAGGTCTCTTATTCTAGAAATACTACACTTTGATATCATTTTTTGCCCTCATTTTTTAAATTCAATTAAAAAGAGCTGTTTGTTCTCTATATTTATTCCCCCCCCCCCCCTAAAAATGTCTGAGCCGCTTTTTTATAATTTACCCTCTTTAACTGATTGTGTCGGAAATCGAATTTGTGCGAGTCGCTAACAAACAAACTGCCTTTAAATCAAGGTCGCAGGCAATGACTAATTCAAAGTTGAGCGAGGCTCTCTTTCTTGTTTTCCTTCTCGTACATACTATTAGATGGACTGATCTAGGTCGGCAACTGTCACTACCTTCGATTCGATTCAATAATAATTGCCGTATCAATAGTCAGAGGCGGCGATTCACACAAGGTTGACAGGCACTCGCGTATGAATATTAGTATTCGCTTATGTGCAACTTGTCGGTCAATTACCTCGTCGCGTAACGTAACATGCTGCAATATAAGTGCCCTTTCAGTCAATACCACCCGACACCTCCGCTTACTTAATGAGCTCAGCTGCGAATAAACTCTTGTGCCGCCGTCTCAATTATATATAATTGCACTCGAGTGGTTGCTGCGCGAAGTTTAATTGCTTTGCGGGCTCTTTGATTTTCTTATCTTAATTTTGCTTAATTATAAAATGCAAGACATATTTCAAAATCAATCCTGCAAAATTATGAATCTAAATTAATTTAATAATATTTAATTATATAATATTTAAACATTAAAGTTTTGTGTAGTTTTTTCAAATACTTCCTATTTTTTTTACTGTTGGTATTGATTAATTATTTGTTTATTCTTAGTATGCAATTTTAAACGTCTGAACATCATATTTATGTTGGGATAGGCAATTCAACTTACATTAAAGTCAAACAGGTTGCCTATCTAAAAAAAATATTAATAAATTCAATGTAATGCGTGATATTAAAAATAAAAATAACTAAATATTATTTAAAGAGAGTCGCAATAATTGCACCAGCGATAAAATATTTTTTCAATCAGTTCGTTTTTAAAATAATTGAGTTAATGAACACGTTTAAATAAAATTTAAAACTTGCCTGGTTCCTGCCGACGAACTCGCTTCAAGGAACCTAGGCTGCTGCCAGACGCGTTTTTGCTCATGTTGAGGTAATGCCTGGCCTTGTTGCCACGCCTGTCCACCACGTCCAAGTCCGCTCCTGCTGCCTCCAGCAGGCCCCACATAAAATTCGCCTCTGGACTCGCCCCGCAGTAGTGCAAAGGCGTCCTACCCTCCTAGATGATTTAAAAGTGAATAATCGTTTTGATAAATTTTAGTTTTGGTTCTCACATGATCTCGGAGGTTTATGGTCAAAGGGTACTTCTCCACAAGCAATTCAGCAAGGGCGACGTGCCCTCGGAGCACCGCCTTGTGCAGCAGACCAAGGCCCGCGGCGTCCTTGCTGATGGCCAGGCGAGCACCTTCATCGCCCTTTTCAAGCATGGCGGCCACTTCGTTTGCTTTGCCATCTTCAGCAGCGATGTGAACTTCTTCTTGTCTGGCCTAAAATCCAGATTATTTTTAAAAACTAAATTCAAGTTAAAAAAAATTATTCAAATTTAAGAATAAAAAAACTAGAAATTTTAAATAACTAATAATTTAATTTTTAAAAAAGACTTAAATTATTACGTCTTTAAGATAAACATAAATTATTTCTAAATAATCATGCTTCTGTTGTTGACTACTGACCTTTTTTTCTACTTTACATATATCATTTTAAGTTCAAGATAAAAAATAAAATTTAAACACTATGTTGATGGAATCAATAAAAAAACTTACCATGAGCGAAGGTAGCGTCCGTAAAAATCCCCTGGCAGCTGGCACAGGAGGACGCTCGCCCAACAGTCGGTGTCCCTGACCGTCGGTGACCAGTTGGCGGAGTCTCTCGACGTCGCCCTCCTTTAGCCACTGCCGCAACGCTTCAGGCTTCAGCGCTGGTACCGCTGATAAATCAACAAAAGATAATTTTTGTTTTTGAAATTCATAATAACCTAAAAAAAAACTGTTTTCTTTCTGTGATACGCTGTGATATCTTTCTATATATAGCCACACTAAATCTATATGTTACGTAAAATTTATTTAATGTTTTCAGGAAAATTAATTTCGTAACAATTTTAAACTGTGAAAGTTTATTTTGCACAAAAAGAATGTTAGATTACTGAGAGGTATAATAAATTCCATTAATTTTATGATATTAGAAAAAATCATCCTAAAACGTTCAGCTGCTCCTCAGGTTAGACTTACAAAATATACAGAACGAATTGCTGACCATAGTCGCCACTAGTAAGCAAAGACTAAAAGCACACTAAATAATATCTAGTTGCAGTGCCCACTGCCCTAAATTGGTGCCAACAACAAAAGCACACCAAACCCGATTAATAATTGAGAAGCTCCAATCAAACGCTCTAATTGATCAGGGCACGCGATCGAGGTCTTGATTATTGAAATCAGGCGTGAGATTGGCGAGTATGTCCTCGCTCCAAGGGTGGGCCGTCAACTGTGGGCTCACGACGGGCAAACCTCGAACCCAGGTCCAAAAGGGGTACGGCGTGGTACGCATTCATGAAGGCGCGGGAAATTCCGCACCCTCGCGTCCTTTGTGAGGCGAACCTTTTGATCGGACGGGGAAATCAGGTTGGTCGATAATTCGCCCGATTAAACGTGCTAACTCGTAGTTTATTCAATTCTTTCACGTGTGTGCATGAGATAGTGACACACAATTCCGCCCTCCCGCACTTTGTTGTGACACACATTCACCGCGACTCGCGCGCACGTACGTGAAAATGCGTGAGGGTGTCACTTCTTCCTGATTCGTTTCATTTTTGGCCTACTTTTCTTTCAATGGAAATCACCCCTTGCCCCCATGACGCTAGATAAAAGTGTTCTAATTTGAAATTTGCGTTGTTATGAGTCGACTTTGTAAATTTTAAATTGGCAGATAACCTACTTTTATAATAATTGAGTTTATTTGTAAATTGGCACAGCAGAGTGACAATATAAAAAGAATGGTATTTTTTCTACTCTTTCCCCTTCATAACGTGGGAGAAAAAAACGGAAAGCACAAGTGCAAAATAAAACTTGGTTATTAATTTGATGTAAAATGTTTGAGAGTAACTTTTGGTTATACAGAAAATTTTAATTTATCTTGATAAATTTTTTTTATTTCAAAAACATTATTGCTTGCTCTACTCAAATCACTTTAAAAGAAAATTGAATAAGAAAAATCTGAAAGATGAGCAGAAAGGGTATCACAACTAGCAGAGGTCAGCTAAAAAAAACGACAACAGGAACACGCCTGTCACGGCCGCCGCCAGATAAAAATATGGGTTAATATCATAAGAAAATTGTTTATAACAAAAGAGTTCCTGTTTATTTATAAGTTCATTGTTAAAATAGAATTTTAGCTAAGTAATTTTGGCTTCCTATTTCTGCCGCAAAGGAATCTAGCAAAAATTTATCTGTAATATTTTGAATTGAAAAACAGAAAATAAGTCAGCAAACTGGAAATTTAAATTCGTTTATTAAAAAGAAAATTTTAATGTAATACCTTCCATTTTTTACAGATTGAACACAAACTGAAATTCTATTCCAGATGTCCCCAAATTATTGCCGGAAAAACGAATTTTTGCATTTGAAGCTTGTCATTTTCTGATACCAATTAATAATTATTAATTATATATTAGAAGAAGACTCATTTTCGGATTGATTGCAAGAAAAATAGCATTAGTATTATGCAATAATAAATAGTTTCGCTACGCGAGCCGTGAGAAAATTCCAATACAATTCCGATATTCCATCATCCTAGGATTAATATAAGTATCAAACAAAGGTGAAACTTTGACCGCACGCGATGTCAAGTGCGGCGCGCGAGAAATTTTCCCACTTGTTGGCAAATACCGTGCACTTGCCCGAGTCAGAAGCAACTTTTATTATAGCTTGGGTTGTCAAAAAGACCTATCAATATTTTAATGCATTTGTAAAACAATTCATCACCACATTTAACTAAATCCCTAAAATTAATTCCAAGTTTCAATAAAAATAACACAATCCAATAAATTTAAATTTATATATTTGTAAGAAAAATATAGTAAATCAAAAGTGTATATCAGCTTCAGATCAGCTTTTACAAATACGATTAAATTTTCAAACTAATCGGTTGCTTCTGTGCTGGTGATGTCGTTATTTGACAATAATTATCATTCATTGAGTGTTTTTGTTTCTACATTTTATTTCATTTTGTCCTCAAAATAATAAGATCATTTAAAAAAAATCGTAAATTATGCAATATAGAAATTGTCAAATTTTGACATTTTTTTACTTAACTTTATTTTGTTGCCAAAATCGTCATTAAAATTACAATTATCACAAGCAATTAAATGAAAAACATTACCTCTAGGCGGACTGATGTGTTGGTAAAGTCCGTTCGTGGTGAAGTTTCTGTGAGGGTGCTTGCAGTTGGCGGCCCTAGGCTTTGCCATGCGGCGAATCGGAAGTCAGGGCATGGCCGGTGTCGGACGTTCGACGGACACCTGCCGAGTGATCAAGGGAGCGGCGGCGGCGCCGCGTGGGTCGATGGCATGCATGCCATTATGTCCCGCCGCCGCCGTGTGTTGCTAACAACACGGGTATCCAAGTGACCACTGCTTTTTAATTATTCATCTCACCGCAATTTCGCCGCTTTTTTCCTCCCTTTGTTCAACTAGAGCTTCCTTTGAAGAGATTATGATTAATTTGCATCGGAAAAATTTGGCCCACTGACCTGCTGGCGTGCCTTCCAACTCGTGGCCAATATAGATGCGATTGTTTGTCTGTCCTTGGACTAGCTCATTTCCAATCGAGATGATTTGGTCAATGTTTATTTTATTGCCACATAAATGGATTTTAGAGTGCAAAGTAATGTGACAATTGCTCAATATGTAAGGCTTTTTGTGTTTTGCATCAAAAGTCACCATTGGGTAGTTCATAATAAAGAAAGTAATTTCAGTCGAACTTTAATTATTAATATTTAAATACGAGCCATTTTCCTGAATTCTGAACTGATTTTTTTCTTTTTGCTGAAATAGAGCCGATTATTATATTTGTAAGAAAGGTATAATAATTGTTATTATAGTTTTGGTAGAATCATTTTCATAATGCAAGTCCTGTCATTATAATTTTATATTGTTATTATGCTTCAAATCTCTCAGAAATACTAAATATTAAAATAAATACATGATATATATTATGCTAATTAAAGTATAGAATGAAAAAAATTGAAAAATAAAATCCAGAGCAAGTTTGCCAAGGATTATTTTTTCCTACAGGATCGTCGGTCCTGGAATAACCTTCCCAATGGCGCTTCCCAAGCGCTTCCCAATGGAACAGTTTCCCACCCTCTGCAAGGCCTACCTGTGGCAAAGTTTGTTATAAGTGATAAGAACTAAAACTAAGTCAACCGCGACGGCTTTTTGATCTCAGATGTTTTAGCAAGAATCTTGCTACTGGTTGTACCGTTTTGTTCAGCAATTTCTTTTTTAAATAATTTATTTCCATGATTGAATGCAAACAAAGTATCTGTAACATTGCGAACGAAATAGCAACAATAATAGTAGTAATACAATTATTATTTTTGCTGATTATTTTACATGTGTAAAATTTTATTACAAGTAATTTTTTATTTATTTTAATACTCTTTTTTTCTTAATATCCAACATGAAAAAAAAAATGCTTCCGCGTTATGTGGAGACACAAATCCAGTGGTGAGATCAAATTTCCTAGTTTTGACTGGTGTGGCCACACACGCGTTAGTGTTTAGATAAACACGTCGAAAGCAGGGGTTGATGAGAAGCACGCGATAAACTGCAAATGAGTCAATAACAGGAGCATTGTCCTATTTACCGCATTTGGACACACGGCATTGAATGCTTGCATCAGCGACGCAAGTTGACGTCAGCCCAAAATTTGTAATTAATTTTTATTCTAACTACTGCCTATGACGTATTGCAGGCACTACTGATTTAAGAGGCACAGATTCTTTATGTTACAACTTTTTCACATAGATCACAAATAACTAAAAATTAAGGTAGCTCAACCGAGTTGAAAAACGTTATCCTTCTTTCAAGTTAGGAAGTGGAGTATTGTATTGTTTTAAAAGTTTATTTATAATTATTCAAGAATTTCATAGTATACCTATGTAATCCACAATTTTTATTTTTATCATATGCTTGACCAAAACTGAAAAATCTTTGATAACCCTTAACAAATTTCAAATCAACGTAAACTAAAATTCTTATAACAACAATTGCGATGGAAATGAAAATCCTTGTTTTGGGGAGGAATAAAATTCTTTAATTGAGCCTTGGCGAATTGCTAAATTTCATGGCTTTGTACATTGGCATAATATCTTATAAGGACCATTTTTCTTTTGGAAACTATTACATCATTTATAAATTTAAACATTAAATTTAATTTTTTAATTTATGAATAATCGGAACCAGTAGAATCTTTATCGGAGTCCACCTCTTCTATCCTAACTGTGACCTGGAAGGTTAGGTTGCTTTTGTCCTCTCTCTCACTTTCATTGGCAGTTGAGCTTCTGCTCGAGTCCGGTGTTGGACAGTTGCTCTCTGTGGAACAACTGCTCGCGGATCGCATCAAAATCTCCTCGCAATATTCTCGGTAGAAATTTGGCGTCCTCCCCAGCTGTAATGAATGCATAAATATCATCAAGTTAAATTTCCAAGGGTGTCCAATAAGGATTAGTTTTGTTGCAAAGTGACAAGCATGATAATGAAGATTGTCATACGCAAATTTTAATTACCCTAGGCTCGCTCACAAAGCACTTTGATTAATTAAATCGCAGCAAAGGGCGCGTGTGACCCCTATTCATTCACACTTAGCGAATAGAGTCATCGTTCTCATTACGAAATTCCATCAGGGCAGGATTGATGAGAGCAGCACATGCTTAACATGCAGGCGCTCCCGCGACACAAATTTTATGAAAGGGAATCCTCATCAATCAAACTCCTCGCAATTTAAACAACAAAAATATTGCCACGCGTGGTTACTCGCTTCGGATGTAACAAGGTATTGTAAATATTCAGCGAGAAATTGGGTCGCTTGCCATCGTAGGGCGAAAACGCATTAGGTGGATTGGCAGAGGCTTTGAGAAACATTATTGCCTCTGTTTTGCCAACACACGATTAGCCTTTGTGGCTTTAAATGGCGCATTAGTCATTTTTTGCATCCCTTGTAATAAGGAAATTTGCCTCTATTTTATATTTAAAATCACAAAAAGTTTTTGATTTCTATTATCTTTACCTTATAATGCATTTATAATGCAAAATTGAAAATTATATTTTAATTAAAACTCACTTATTAATTTTAATATTATCAGTTTAATAATTTTTCCTAGTGTCAATGTAATTTGTTATAATATTGCAATAATTCAAGGAGAGCTATTTGGAATTTTCCAATAAGAATCAAAATTCAATCTGAACAAAAAAAAAACAATGCTTTTGGGTTCTTTCATATTCAGTTGATTATTTTCTTTGTTCATGATTAAGTTTATGTCAATTGACAATGCTTTTGCAAAGAATGGCTTTCAAATTATATTTCTTCTGCGTTAGTTTTAAAATAAACCACCATAATTATAATTATAACATACCAAATCCATTGAGTCCTCGGGTGCACCTTCCTCTAGCAAAAATTGGTACCACGAAAATCCACCGGTGCCTCCACCGCCTTGCTTGACGCCGTCCAGAGCGGCAGCGTAATGCAGCGGCGAGCGCCCCATCTGGGAAAATCATAAATTTTTCACTATATATTGACTTTTAGATTACAACTTTTAAATTTACTCATATTACTTGGTAATATTGGAAAAAATTATGAAATTGCAACAATGCTGAAATATATCATAAAACTATGAATTTATAAATTGAAAACGGCCAGAGCCTTGGCCGCAGATCACTAGTTTATTTTAGTCATATTTTAATTAGCATAGTTTTTACTATTTGCCGTGCTGATTTTTGAATAAATAATCACATTTTCTAGCCGCAATCAAGCTTTAAGAGAGAGATTGGATTTAGTATTTGCTTTTAAGAATTTTTTTTCGTTCTGCTGAGTTCAGGAATTTTTGGCTGGTGTTGGAAGCAATTTTTAATAGAAAAAAATACCCTATCCGTGGCAGTGAGACTCTTGGGCGCCTTATGAAGCAAATATCTGACGACGGCAATGTGATTAGTGATCATCGCTTTGTGGACAGGGGTGCTGCCAGTGTCATCTCTTGATACCGCCAGCTCAGGGCGGTCCAAAATCAGGGCCAAGGTCGTGAGGTCACCGTTTTTGGCTGCCTCATGTACCCTTGCTATCCTGCCCTGCAATTAAGCAAATAACAAATTATTTTTAGATAATCTTGAGAGAGCTATTATTTTTTCGAGAGCTCTAGCTTTTCTAGCGTTGCAAGAGAACACCAATCTTAAAATAAGTTTCAATTTCAATTGAATACTTAAAACGCGTTAAATCTAATAGGAAGTAAATGGCTGCTGTTGATGGAGTTCCAGAGGAGTAAATAATATACTTTTAATAATGATACAATCGATTATAAATTCAAATTTTAATGTTTAATTTTTCTGATAACAACATTATCATTAAAGTAATTAAAGAAACAGGCAAAAACGATTCAGTAACGCTATTGGGTGTATTAATAATTTAATTTGATCATTTTGTAGACATAAACACAGTGCCCAAAAATTATTTAAATACCGTAATTAAATTATATAATTTAGTTTCTTTTTTTAATAAATTTTTTTCGTTGGATTTTACTGAAAAAAAAAAATATTACTTGCAGTCTCAGCAGAAAGGAAATAAATAAGTTTAAAAAAAAATAAAAATTTCTCGGGCGCATCAAAATAGTTACCAATTTCTTTTGATGTGTGAATGCGAAAACGCTTCTCATGCATTTTTCATGTGATCATATTTTGAACATTCGCGTGCCCCACACAATAATGTTGACACTGACGCTCGCAAAGCAAATCGAGCTCACAAAAATAACACTGTGCATACATAAAAGCAAGGTGTATTATCGATCAACTGCCCCTCACGTGGTGGCATGTGAGTGCATTAAATTAAAATGCGCGTTTCTATCGTCTCAAGGTCTTGGTTTTGTTTTTGTGTGCATGCAGATGAATAATGCCTTGCCTGCACGACACGACGTGTTATTACTCTTTATCTTTAATTGAAACGCTAGTTTTATCGAAAGTGAATGAAACTTCTCCGCTTGAGAGAGTGTATTAATTTGTTTTTGACCCAATTGCCCTAATCAGACAGTTGACAAATAAACACTGTATTATTGACACTGACCTGAAATCGTGGCACTTTCTTGAGGAAGGCGTTGACTCTGGGAATGCGCGACGTTCTGCCCTCGAGCAGCTGGCCATAGCCGTTGAGCACCGCGTGCTCCAGAGGGGCCAGGTTGCCCACTTCCAACCATAAAGACACCGCCTCTTCCAGGGCACGTCCTGGACGAGAGGGTATCTTTACCATTGGGCCCCAGCACGCCCCGCAAAAGCAAGGGACCACCTGTGATTTAGATAGTTTGTTGGAGTAAATAAATGAATAATAAAAATTGATAACATTTAACCTATTTAAATGAGACAAACAAAATTTATATCTGCATATTTGGATTTGCATTTGAGATTAAATTGCTGAAGTGTTTTGGTACTTAACTTTATAAGTTTTGCTCTTAATATAAATTATCTTGTAAAATAGAGTACATGATAATGATACTTTAATCAATAATATTGGCAACACAAATCCTTAGGAAGTGATAGAAAAAACCTTGGATACACAATTTTGATACATCAAAATAGAAGTTTATTTATTTATATATTTTTCTTTTCGTAAAATGGAGATTATGTTGTTTTAAAAGTTTTCATGAATTTTTTTTTTCAAAAGTTAGTGTAAAATATTTTAGGATCCTTCTTGCTAGCTGGACAGATGGTCAATTTATATAGAATTTGAAAATATATTGATATTGATGTGTCTTATGTGTGTAAGCGTCATTTGCGTAAAAATTCATGCTTTTTAAAATTAGTCATTGAGTGCAATGGACAACATTTTTAACTTAATAGTTCGTATTTTTGTACCTGTACTAGTTAACAAACTATTTATTTCTAATGCATCAGACATATACAAAAATATTCAAATCTCGATTTAAATTTGCTGCATAATTTCTGATTATGTTATAACAAATTATAACCGTACGTGGTATAGAGCGTTTTACAATGAACAATATTTATAACTTTTCAACCACGAAAGTGATAATGAAAAGTTGTTTCTGGGCATTTTGCAATTTTTGCATCCATTTGTTTAGTTCACTATTCCTTAAAAATACTTTCAAAAATTTAAAACAGAAGATATTAAACCTTATTGAAATATTTAAAATTAATTTAATTTTTTTTAGATATTTTATTGCCTGCTATCATTTTTGGTTATTTTTACAAAATATGAAGCAGTATCAGATTGTGCAAATAATGATAATTATTTTTATCATACGTGATTCAAATTGCCCACAACTATGTTATCTGCGAACAAAAATAATCACAAGTCAATAATTTTTCATTTTGATTTGTATTCCCTCTTTTTAATTTACATTAGTGGTTGTTTAAAAAAAATTAATTACAGTTTGCTTAACAATAATGCATTGATAAAACAATTTGTTCAATAGAATATTTGTATCAAAAATTGGTGTGTTTTGAAACCATTTGCCAATAATTTTAACACAAACCAGATAATAAATCATGTTGATTATATATATATTGTATTTTACGTCATAAACAATTCTGACCACAAAAGAACACTTAAAAAAGAATGAAAAAGAATAGGTAAACATTACTTTTACAAGACAAAGGAATAAGTAAGAGTTAAAAAAGTGCCCTTGAAGCCAAGGATGTACCAAAACGCTTTTTTCCTCATTCTCCTTGTGCGCCGGGAGGAAAAGGCAAAAGAGAGAGAGGAAAAAGGCGCTTTGCCAAGTTCAAAGAAAACGAATTGCGCTCAATAATTCAGGAGCGAGAGCCTACCTTGTTCTCCGTGGTGATGCAGCGAAGCGAGTGGTCACCTTAAGGCCAATATTGGCTAGGGCTGCGTCACGTTTCACCTTGGCAATGGAGAACGGCGCACCCCCGACCGGCCACCCCTCGCCTTGCGTGTGTGTTTGACCAGCAGGCACCCAGAGAAACCCCCACACGCTCATGCCACTCAAAATCGCCAAAATCGCCGCTACGTAAAAAGGCTAAATTTGGCAACTTTCTCAAACTGGCAGACAAAAATTTTTAGAGGAAAGGTGCAAAACTAACAGTGGTTCCAGAGTGGTTCTCTCGTTTTTTTTTATTCAAAAATTAAATATTCCTGTTGTGCATATTTTTAATTATTTTTTTTCTCTAAATCAAAAATTATCTCCATCTTTCTAAGCATTTGCATCATTTTGGGTAAATAAAGGTGTTAAGTTCATCCTATTGGATCTATATTTTTATCAATATGAATATAATATCAAATATAAAATTTGGCGTGCTTTCAATACATACTATTGTTCCATTTTATAAGTGTTTATTTAATATTTAATATATTTTTTTTCCTTTCCAATAATTCAATAATTAGTCGAAAACTTTTTTATTTTGGAATTTGGACGTTAACATAATGTATTATATTCAGATCGATTTTTGTATTTATTTTTGTTAATTATTGTGTCGAGAATTAATTTGCCTTTTTGCGTTAATGTGCGATTTATCAGGCAGAATCAGCGCCTTTCATATTATCAATTTCGAGATCAGCCCTTGAAAAGATCACAAAGCAAATTGCCTGCACTCCTCAATCATCTCATTTTTCCGGCGCTGACCGTCGACGAGACCTTGAACGTCCCGTACATAATTGCCCAAGCGCGTGTGAGGAGTTTTATTTTCAAAGAAGAAGAAGCAGAGTCTGCTGGTGCCACTGCTGCGAGTTAATGTGCGCCACACGCTAATCAGATCTCAAATTATCATACCGGCGGCACGCGAACTCCGCCGCAAACTCCGCCTCGTATATATTTCAACAATCTATTTTCAATCCCACTCGCACCCTTGCTTTCATATTATATTTTTTTGTAATAAGGCGCTCTGTTGATCCGACGAATTGAAACCTGTGATGCAACACCCGCGCAATTGTTTTAATGGAATAATATTTGCTGTGGGAATTTCTAAATTTTTTATTCTTATAAATATTTGATATCTGATCTACTTATGATTTATGATTCAATATAAAAGAAACATTGTTTATCTCTTAGCGTTTTAGAATATAACTGAATGATTAGAAACTTTTTTCTGACGATGCAATAGGTCAAATAGGTATAGCATAAAATTAAAATTATAAATTAAATTTAAACACAAAAAATAAACAATTTCAACTTGATCAAAACGAATAACATAATGTGTTTATTTTTTATTTTCACACAACAAGTTTTTATGAACTATAAATTTTGCAACTTAAATTATTTCCCCTCAAAAAAGTGATTTAAAAAAATCCAAAATATTATTAATAGCTTCGTACGCCCAGTTGTTAGGGCGCGATATAACGTCGTCAACTTTACGAATCTCAGTTGGTGCAGGGGTGCTCTTCCAATGAGGCCACTGCGAGATTTCTTTGAAAAGAGCGTCACCAGGACACAATGTTGCCTTTGCCTGGCGGTGCCCCAACATTGTGTAGTTATTCATCAAAAAATTAGAGCTGATGCTGCATTTGATCAAACTGCGTAAAGCAGCTAAAGCCGTCTCATTAGGCAATCGATCTATGTAAATTTAAAATAATTATTATTAAAATTTTAAAAATCCTCTTATAAGGATGCATATGGATAAATTTGATTAATCATATTTTTTGTAAAAATTTTAAATTGAAAAAATGTATAACATTCATTCAAAATTGTTTATTTAAAATTATAATCAAAACAGACTGCAAAATTTGTGCTTAGAAATGTTTATCGATTAAAATAATTTCTTACTTTTTATTTTAACACAAGGTTCAAAGACTTACCTGAGAAATCTCCAATGAAGCAAACACCAATGCTAATATTATTGTAAGGCGGTGCGTGCGCGCCAACTCTCTGCCACCCTCGCCCTTCATAAATATTCCCGTCTTCGCCGATCAGGTAACTGTACCCAATATCGTCCCATCCACGATCGTCCATATGGAAATCTTGATAATAGCGCACGATTTTGGCGCATTCGTCGTGCGTGCTGCAGAATTTTTTGAAACCACCGTGATGGACTATCAAGTAGGGCGCCAATGGGTCTCGCTGCGTGAAATTACGCGCCGGTCTCGCACCCCATTCATCTCTGGACACAATTTTCGGACAATCATCTGTTTTTAGAAAAGTAAAAAATGTGAAATTTTTATTAAATTTAATTTTGCAACTTTCAAATTGAATTAAATTTACAATCAGATTCGAATACTTTTTAAATGAATTGAGCTTGGAATTGACGACTGTACCTGGTAAAGCAAATGTAGGAGCAGCCTTTGCAATACTTGAATAAAGGGCACTGCAGATATGCAAGAGAGTTGCTGTCAATGTAAGCTTCATGGTGACTAACGCGAGACAAACTGCATTAGCTTCTTCAAGCCTTGATAACACTAAAAAATGCTTGAGAAAAATCTGTCCCTTCTCCAAGTTCATCATGTCATTTCCGGCTTTTATGAGCCGGGAAGTTAAAAAAGAGTGGGTGCACCACTGCAAACTTGCAAAGTCATATATAGCGTTTTTTTTTCTTGAGTGCCACGCAATTTTATTCTTTTTTTAAAGTAATTAAATAAATGCAATTGAGATCACTATTTGTGGATCACCGTACTTTTATAAATTCTTGGTGCAATAGATTTTTGGGCGGATAAAGAGTGAACAGCACATTGGCATTGGCCTTGTGGAAAGTTTTGCTTGGGTGGGATATTGCAATGAAATTATGAATGGTGCTCAAATGTGGGGAAACTGGGGAAAAACCTCTACTTACTCCTTTCCGGCAGCCGTTTCGTCACACCGTGCGTTAATGTAAATATACACAAGTTGAATATACAAGTATACCAGAGTTACGTTCACCAAAAATTACATGAAAAATCTTCAAAGAAAATCAATGCAAAATATAAAAAAAAAAATGAAATACAAATCGACAACAATTAGCATTTTTCTTTAGAATTTATGCTGATTTAAACATGACATTGAGCAAAATTTCTCTGTCTAAAGCAACCTAATTACATACACTTAATTCTAATTTTGCAGACATGAATTTGATTTATATAATTATTAATTACAATTTTAGTCAATCGCAATAATTATATAGTTAAAAAATCTCACAGTGCTGAAATTGTAAAATAATAATATTGATTACATATTCCACTCTTCAACGTGTTTTTACATTTCTGAGAAAGCTGTAGTAACTGTAAGAAGCGGCGATAATCTAGAAGTAAAATAACTTGTATCATATTAAAATACGTTGCAAAATAAATAAATAATTATATTTTAAAATTAAAGTGAACGCTGTGGCTTAATTATTACTGTTTTATTTATCAATCAAAAGTTTAAATATATTCAATCAATTTTTATACTCACAGCGTTGAACGTCTTGTTGGACAACTTGTAAAAAGGTCCAGCCTTCAGGGAATATTGTATGTTGCTGCCGATGGAAATTATCTGAAGTGAAGTGTAGTCTGCCGAATTGATGTATGATTCTGCAGCAAGACGGTTCAAAACTGCGAGCCGAAAACGATTTTCCTATATCCGTTGAGGATTATTATAAGTTAGCAGATATTTAACGGAGATGAAATTTACCGCAGCAATCAAATTTTCCGCCAACCAGCCAAAAATGAAAAGCTCCAACATATTAATCGCAAACTCGAACGCAAGAACAGCACTTGTACTTGAAAGTTCAGCCTAAAATTTTTGTTAAATAAAACACTTTTACTTTGTGTTAAAAATTATTACGTGGTCGGTGATTTCCTTTGCCGTCAGGCAGAGGACCAAAATTATGCGCCACATTTTCAGTTGCATTTGAATCGAAAAGACCTCGTTTGCATTTTTGATCAGCCTATTAATGATATTAAAATCATTATTCTACTAGTCTAATTATAAGTATATATATATATTATATATGATTACGTTAAAACGAACTGGTGCAGAGTAGCAATGAATCTGATATCAACGGTTTCCGAGTCGGAAATAGAGGCCCATTGGCGATTTTCATTGGATCTTTGTTGCATCATTTGAAGGTTTTCCATGCTCTCCACCAAGTGGTCTGCATATCCTTGAATAAAGCAGCAGATCTGGAAGTAAATCATGGCATATCCAAGTTGATACAGCCCAACGGAGGTGAAGACAAAGATATGCACATATTCAATAGCCTCCTGAACGTAAGCGCCAATCGCCGTACTTGACAAGAATAAGAAATCGTCATTTTTGTTTTCCGATTTGTGCATAGCCTCTTCCTCGCCATCGTTAAATATTTTGGTCCTTCAATAAAATTAAATGATTTAATTATTGACCTCAATTGCTATAGGAGGGATAGAAATAAAAATAAAAGTAATAAAATAAATAAAGCAATCAAAATGAATAATTTAAAAATATATGTGATTGAATAATACTCGTTCATATACTATTCAAGGACCCAAAATCAAAACGATCATATTTTTTTGAAGCATTATATCATTATATATAATAAAAAATATTAATATCTTTGAATTATACTTCACCTGTATTCTATGGTAATCGAAACAGCCACAGATATTAAAATGTAAAGCCACACGAGCAAGTAGCACAGTCTGGTGGCTCTCCTCATGTAGTACTTTCTTAGTTTGCTTCCGAGCCGGTTGCTCACCACCGTAGGACAGTTGTGCGTAATTTTGTACAAAACGTTCCTCTTGACAAAGAAGCCGATCATTTGAAAGTCTGAAATCAGCAGACTGCCTTTGATCCAAAGCCCACTTAACAAAGCTGGCATGTTCTCAGCGTTGATGAAGAAAAACAGCAGTGTTTCAAAAATGGTGTATACGCAGCAAAACGCCGAGAATATCCAATATAGGTTCGAGAAGAACTTCAGCAATTTTGCTTTTGGGTTCATTGGCAAAACGCCGCTGATTTTCAACAATATAATCAGTTTCCTTGAGTAGAAAATCAGGACACGGTCGTCATCTTTGTTGGCCTAAATGAATAAGCATATTAAAAAATAATTTTAGAGTCATATATTCACCATAACCAAACAAGGATTTGAATGTTTAATTGATAATATAATATAATGAAAAATTACATACCATTTTAAATGGATGGCTTTCTTTGTCCACAGAGAATTGCTCTCCCACAGTTATATTATAAACACGTACAGCGACTCAAGTGAACCTGCTTTTTCGTTCTCCGTTTTTCAGTGACGTTTTACCACCATTTACGAATGCAAGTAGTGTGAAATCTATACCATTTAAATGACAATTTTCCACTTGAAATAAACATCATGTGAAAAAACTCAGGTGCGTAAAACATTATTATTGTCTAGCTTCATGTGCGCAAACATTTGTTTGAGGAAATTGCCCCCTGCGTGTATAGTTTGTGGCCAGATAGAGGCTTAAAAGAATAATAATATAATTTATTAAATTGCTGCGCGATAAATATTTTATTCGTTTGGAAACAATTCGTTTGACGAAATTTCCTGGCAAACATAACAGCAAACAACAAACAAGAAATTCATCTTGCGTTGAAAATTTAAAAGGCTGAGCCGTTTTCTTCCACCCTGCTAAAAGCTAGGGTCGGCCAAAGCTGCATGCAAGTGCTGGCTGCGTGGTTTGGCATTTTTTGCAATATAAAAAAGGAAAAAAACTATGAAAACCAATGAAAACTTTGTATACCAAACTTTTATACCTCTTTTTTCAATCTAATATAATCAATTTTGCCAAATTTATTAACTAGTCTCTTTGAATTATCAATTTTCTTGTTTCCGCATTATTGCGCGCGTATATAGAAGTATCATGTGTTCACACTGATTCTGTCCAATGTCCCTTCCCTCATATACACATTTACAGTATTTCCTTGGCCTGGCCAACTAATGTCGGAGTATCCCTTGCAGCCATTTCATAGGCCTGGACATTGCGATCCTGTAAGATGCACTCTTCCCGAATAAAAACAAAGCACTCCCGCGGTTTGGTGAATTGAAAAAGAATTACATTCCGCTATTTTATCAGAGAAAAACATTTTAACTTCTGCGCTTTTGGTTACAATTTTAATATAAAATTAACTGCTCATTATTTTTATTTTCTTTTCTGAAATTTTAAAAATGCAGGAAATAATTAATTCATCTGTATTTTATTTACCGCTTTGTCAGGAGCTTAAAAAAGCTTTTTTGTGATAAATTTGTCTCTTAAAATTTTCCCACAAAATATTTTTATTTTATTTCAGTTAATTGAAAATTGGTTTTAAATGAGCACTGCACATGAAGTTACAATATCACTTTTCTTTCAAAGCTTTCTTTATTTTCATTTTTTTTTCTATCATTTTAAGAGGACCAATGGAAGGAAATTTTAAAGACACACCTGTTTAATTCTTTTTTCTGTCAAATTTGTATTATAAAAATCAAAGACATGATTTAAGGATTAGCAGTCCAGTTGGGCCAGCCCTGAATCTCAGAGTAGAGGGCATCTCCAGGGCAATCGGTGGAAACGGCTTGCCTGTGGCCAATGAGGCCGTAGCTGCCGCTGATGTAGCCCTGACCAACTCCACAGGCAATCAACTGCTGAGCGGCGTTGAGTGCGGCATTAACAGGGGTGGCGCCTTTAATAATTAAAAATTATTATTACTAAATTTGTGGAAGAATATTTTAGTTTGGCTCACTTGTGAAGGTTCCAATGAAGCAGATTCCAATACTCTGGCTGTTATAGCCGGGAGCGTGGGCACCAACCTTGTCCCAGCTTCGTCCCTCATAAACGTTGCCGTCTCCACCTACGATGAAGCTGTAGCCAATGTCAGACCATCCGTTGACATCCATATGCTGGTTCTGGTATGACTGCACCATAGAGGTGCAAGAGGACTGGGTGCTGCAGGAGGCACTGGCACCGTGGTGGATAACAACAAAGGGCACAGGGTTGTTTTGGTACGAGATGCTAGTGGGAGGGCGGGCACCCCACTGAGAGCGAGAGATAATATTGGGGCAGCCTGTCAATGATTAAAAATTTAATGGTTATTGTAAAATAAAACTGAGCAATTTTTATAATTACTCTGTGCGGCTGCCAACGCAAAAAGTGCTGCAAAAACGATGAATCCCTTCATAGTTGCTCCTACTTTTAAAACTATTTTGTACTTGATCAAAGCTTTTATACTTAAGAAAATAGCCGTGTGCAAAAGCCACTTTGAATTATTGAAAATTGTTATCATTCACTCAAAATAATGGGTTGCTTTCATCTTTCATGTCATTTTTATCTTTAATTTTGACAGAAGAAAAAAAACAATATCTAATTTCTTTATCTTTAAATCTCCTTAAAGCCGTTCAAGAAGCACACAAGAACTTACAAGATTATAACAAAACTTTTAAAATATTATTTATCAAGGCCGCTGCGATCACACTGCCGATTTTCGCTCCCGCTCAAGCTTGTTAAATAAAGTCTCCCGCTCTATTTCTCTGATAAAATTGTCTTTGTTATTGTTATTATTGTTTATGCTTCACAAAACAAGTCAAATCAAGTCATGAAAAGAAAAAGATTACAAAATGTGAAGAAAATACTTTTTATTAAAAGTTTTTAAAAATATTTATTAACCCACAACTTACGTATTAAAAAAATTAAACAAACAAATTTGAAATACCAACCGAAATATAAGTTTAAATAATAATGTCAGCATCAGCAACAATTACACGTCATAGTAAGTTTGGAAAAGAATTACGTTTTCTGGTGGGGGGGGGGGGGGGGGGAAGTAATAAAGAAATAAATCTTGTATGTTTGATTCTAACCAATTCAAACTCTTCTCTATACTTGTGTTCATCTATTGATGTAGATTTTTATGCTGAAAAACTTTAAAATGTTCACAAATCAATGGCTAATTTAACTTTTCAATGTAATTCTCCGAAAAAGAAAACACATCAGATTTTTTCAAGTGGCACAAGAAATTTTTTTGCCCGAACTTCTAAGTGTGTAGGAAAAAATCAAATTATTTCCAAATGGCAATATTTTTAATCTAAAAGATAATTTTAAATGAATATATCAGAATATATTATACTATAAAATTATAAAAGCAGGGAAATTAATAGGCTCAAAATCATATTTCCAAAAGAGCAGCAAAAGAGCTCAAAATTCCACTCAATTCCGCTCGCGCCCTCCATAAACAGAATCTTTGCACTAATTGCGCTCCTGCTCACTTGTCCTTGGGAGCGTGAATTTTTCACTCTGAAACGCGAAATGAGGGCCACTCATCAAACTTCTTATTTATTTTACTACGAAAAGCCTTAAATTTTTTAATTAATAATCTAAAATTTATTTTAGGGATTTTTTGATAGAAAATTGAATATATGTAATTAATTTGTCATTAAAAAGTTTGCAAATGGCATTTTAATTATTAGAAACTGTACAAAGCCAGCTAATCGCTAATTGGAAACTCCGCAACTCCACGTTTCTCTCGTCCGTCGCTTAAGCTTACTTGAAGGCCAGTACTAGAAACAAAAATTGTTTGAATAAATTAACAAAATAAATATGATAACTGCTTACTTTGTCCACTTAAATTCCATTAAAACAGACGCCCCACTCTTCATTTCATTCAAGCTGACTGAACCTAATTTGCTGAGTTGTCCATTTTCTGCTCCTTCCTCAGCAATTTCCACAACAAGTTCAGTGCTTCCATCTGGTACTTGAAGCTTCGATTTCTTCATGAAAGGTATGGGAGACAAAGCTGGTATCAAGCACTGCCACTTTCCATCGGAAGGCTGAATTTTTTAAGAAAAAGAAAATGAGGAATATTTTTTAAAGCAAATAAAATTACCCGTAAATACCTTAAAATAAATTGCCTTAGAAGATGCTTGAACTGTTATTGATTGTTCGTCAAAGTCTCTATCCCAGGTAGGAGGAAGATAGCTAGCTTGCCTAGTAGCCCCAATGGCTAGTACCTCATCAGGGGCAAGACCGGAGAGGATCGTTGCCTCTCCAAACACATCAGAAACCATTTTCTGCAATTTGGGGATTTTCAAGGTTCCTCCACACAAAATTACCTAGGAAAGATAATCAGTCAAAAATTTCTTGCTTATTAATTGTTACTTACATGGGTAATATCTTTAGAACTGATTCCTGAAGATTTGAAAACTGAGTGGATGGGCTGCAGAAACTCCTGCAGATCGGATGAAGCAAGCATTTCGAATCTTGCTCGGGAAATATTGACTCGATAGTCGATGCCTTCGTGCAAAGATTCCACAAAGCAGTCTGCAGAGTTGAGGTTGGACAAAATGTGCTTCCAGTTCTCAGCTGCCGACAATAACTTGGCCATTGATCTCTTGGACTCTCTAGGGTCTAGTTTAAATTTTCTGCCAAAAGAAAATCATAATGTTATCCTCAAAACTCAATATTTAAAACAAAAAAAATAACACGAAATACCTCTGAAACTCATCAGCCACAAATTCAGCTAATAGTCTGTTTAATTTATCGCCACCCAAGTCTTGGCAGTGGACATAATTTTCTATCGAATAGGCACCGCCAACTGCCTTCACAATAGTAGCGTCGGAACTGACTCCACCCACACGGAACACAAGGCATAAGCTAAGTTAAGGTGCTGTTAGAAATTTCAAATTACAAGGTTAATTAAAAATAAATACCAATTTTGACTTTGATCCTGCATGCCCACTTGATAAGCCAGTGCAGCCGCGCAGGGCTCGCTAATCATCTGCAAAACCTCAATACCAGCGGCCTCTGCAGCTTTTTTTGTTCTTTCAAGCAGAGGTGTTGACAGTTTCAAAGGCACTGTGAGGACAGCTTTATGGGCTTCCACGGAACGTTCAGCTGTGTCAGCAATTCCTATACAAAAATCATTTTAAAGATCTCTCTGGTTTCATCAAAGTTTTTTTTTACTCTGCATGCTTTTGTAGATGCATGTTGCAACCTCGTCAGGAGTGATGGAGATCTCTCTATCACCCTCCTGGATGGTGTATTTAACCAGCCCATTTCGGGCAGAAACTTTTCCCTTGCTGCGTTCACAAACGCTGTCAAACTCCTCACTGCTTGGATCAATGTGCAGGTAGAATTTGTTGTGTGTTATGGTCGACGAGAGATTTCTTGCAGCGCCTGCTTTGGCTTCAAGTCCAGTAACCTTTGATAGACAATTAAAAATTCAGTTAAAAATACATACATTAGAATGAACAGCAAAACAGAAATCGCATAAAACTTTATTAACTCACTCTTTCATTTTCGTGAAAGGCAACAACAGCCGGCGTGACTCGATACCCGGCTTCGTTGGCAACAACATCCAATTTCTCGTCCTGAAAATGCATTACATTAGGATAAAATAAATTATATTTTTAAGAAAGCTCCAGGAAAACCTAATTTTCTTGGTAAATTTACCTTAAAACAAGCTAAACAAGCAGTGGTGTTACCCACATGGACACCAAAAACAGCCGCCATTATTGAAAATGTGATTTTTCGCGCCTAAATTCAAACCCTTCAAAACATGTCGAAAGTGAAAAAGGGGCGTGTTAATCAGAGTAGTCAGTTTAAAAAAAACATGGATGTCGAAGAATTGTTGACATTCAAGGTACCGCTCAAATATCTGCCAAAATCTAATTAAATTAACCATTTGTCGTTCGAATTTAATTTCAGCCTGTCAACACACCTAAAAGGCCGCAGGATGATGAGCCTGGCAGGTCAGATGACGGCCCTGGCGAGTATGAACGGTACCGAAAAATGCGGCGGCTCGATGAGCGGCCAACACAAGTTCGGAGAAGAGAGGAGCAAATGGCACCTGTAAGTTAATTTATTAATGATTATCGCCATTCAAAATACTTCACGAGACTTATTTATGTATTATGAATATTTAAAGCCCAAATTCAAAGAAGACGCAGATGAAGAAGGTCGACAAAAAATAAAGCAGATTGTCGATTCGCTGGATGAGGGAGGCGCTGGTGAGTCTGACGTTTTGGACGAAAATGCTATGAAGAGAATGGTCCTGCTTTTCGAAAAGAGGGCCCTGAAAAACCAAGAGATGAGGATCAAGTTTCCAGACTCGCCTGAAAAGTATGATGATCAATTTACATCATTAAATTAATTCCAAAACTGATTTTTTTAACCTATGAAGGTTCATGGAATCTGAAGTTGAACTTCACACAACCCTGACAGAACTCAGAGCCTTGGCCACCGTTCCAGAGCTATACCCAAAGCTTGTGGAATTAGGAGCTGTTCCCTCTATGCTGGAGCTTTTGGCGCACGAGAACACTGACATTGCGATTGCTGTTGTGAATCTTCTCCAAGAGCTGACAGACATTGATACCCTAACAGAAAGTCAGGAAGGCTCTGAAGCCCTTGTGGACGCACTGATGGCAGGGCAAGCTTGTGCTCTGCTCGTACAAAATTTAGATAGGCTTGACGAGAGTGTACCTGAGGAGGCTGAGGGTGTGCACAACACATTGTGTAAGGATTTTTTAAATTGAAATCATAATTATTGTTTATATTTTAATTTTTAGCAATATTTGAAAACATAACGGAAGTAAGGTCTCAAATATGTAATGATGCAGCCAGTCAAGGACTCCTGTCTTGGCTCTTGAAGAGGCTGAAAGCAAAAATGCCATTCCACGCAAATAAACTCTACACTAGTGAGATGTTGTCAATATTGCTGCAAAGCAATAATGAAAACCGGCAGCTGTTGGGAGATTTGGAAGGCATTGATATTCTCCTTCAGCAGCTTGCAGTAAATTATAAATTCCAATCTAATTATTTTGATACTTATCGTTTTAATCATAGTATTACAAGAGACATGACCCCTCATCTTCTGAGGAGCTAGAAATGATGGAGAATCTGTTTGACTGCCTTTGCAGTAGCCTCATGCTTGCCTCCAACAGGGACAAATTTCTCAAGGGTGAAGGTTTGCAGCTAATGAACCTTATGCTAAGGTAACATTTAAATTGTTTTTGTGATAATATTTAAATTAATCAAATTGATTTTCAGGGAAAAGAAGCAGTCAAGGAATGGATCATTGAAGGTTTTGGATCATGCTATGTCGGGGCCCGATGGAAAGGATAACTGCAACAAGTTTGTGGACATTTTGGGACTTCGGACAATTTTCCCTCTTTTCATGAAGACACCACCACGAAGCAAGAAAAGAACAATCTCAACAGAAGAACACGAAGGTATATTATAACAATCCAAATAAATTTTCTGTTAATATGTTATTTATTAGAGCATGTGAGCTCTGTCATTGCAAGTATGTTGAGGAACTGCAGAGGAGGCCAAAGAACAAGACTGCTTACAAAATTTGCTGAAAATGACCACGAAAAAATTGACCGGCTCATAGAGTTGCATTTTAAGTATCTTGAGAAGATGGAAAAAGCTGACTTAGCCATTGACGAAGATGTGCGAAAGGTGCTGCAAGTTTATATCTATCAGGCACTCAACTAATAAGGCTTTTTAGCAGAGGAGGCGTGATGACAGTGACGATGAGGAGGACGAAGACACTATTTACTTGAAGCGCTTGGATGCTGGGCTCTTCACATTACAATTAATTGACTATGTCATTTTGGAGATTTGCAGCAGTGGACAACCATCCATTAAGCAGAGAGCTCTGCAAATGTTGAATCTTCGGGGCGGTTCTACCAAAACAATCAAGCAGATAATGAGAGGTACTTGATTTAATTAATGGTCTTATCTTAACTATATCATGAATTATAATTTGTAGAATACGCTGGTAATCTTGGCGAACTTGGAGATAAAGAATGGAGGTCTCAAGAGCAACAGCACATTTTGAATCTGGTGGACAAGTTTTAATAATTTGTTTCCATTGGACCTGTTCTTGTAAAATAAAATATAAAAAAGTTTTTTGAATTGCAAACAATTTTATTTATTTGATTAACTTGATTGTACGCTGAATAATATTTGTTTGCGCTTTTGCAGCAAAAAAATCATATGATATTATTTTTGACAAATTATACGCACGCAAGAGACAGTAGTTTCTTATCTTTCCATCTAGTCTGATGGTATCTTCACTATGCATAAAATGTGACATTTCCAGCATTTCATAGCGAGTCTGGAATGTGCACGCAATTATTTTGCCCCTAGAGTGCAGTAGGAAGTAGTGCGAGCATATTGATTTCATGAATGTGCTGGAAATTATAATCCAGACCACAACTCACAGGCAGTCTGCTGTCATATGTTGGTGCAAGAGTTGTGGTCTCTTGGGCTTAGAAATGGTATGTCAAACTATAAAGTATTAAGAGTAAAAGATCTTAGATATTATTACATTCTCTATTTTTGGTGAACCTAAAGGCAAATAATGTCAACGAATCTGTTCCTGTGCTTTTGTCCCCTGCTTGCCTTTCTAACAACGATGAACTGATAATTGAGAAGAGGGTTGGCAAAGGACAATTCAGCGAAGTATTTAGAGCCCGTGTACTATCTACTGGGCAAAGGATCGCCCTGAAGAAAGTGCGAATAATAGAGCTGGCCGACTCAAAAGCCAGGGCTGATTGCTTAAAAGAAATTGCTTTACTTCAAGTATTTAATTTTTCTTTCATCAATAAGTCAAAATAATCTATAAGTTGATCATTACAGCGCCTCAGTCACCCTAATGTTGTGAAGTACATGGGCTCCTGGGTGTCAAATTTGGAGTTGTTCATTGCCTTGGAGTTGGCAGACGCTGGAGACCTTGCTGCCATGATAAAACACTTCAAAGAAAAAGAGAAGCCTATCCCTGAAGCATCAATTTGGAAGTTCTTTGTGCAAATTTGTGCTGGAATAAATCACATGCACCAAAAGCGAATCATGCACAGAGGTTAATAAACTTGAGAATTTGAAGAAAAAAACAGGAGTAAGCAATAATAAATATTTCTAGACATCAAACCAGCCAATATCTTGGTCACTGCTGATGGCAAAGTCAAGATAGGAGACTTTGGACTTGGACGATATTTCAGCGCTCAAACTATGTCTGCGCATTCTTTGCTAGGAACTCCGTTCTACATGAGTCCTGAACGCCTCCGAGAAGAAGGCTATAATTTTGCTAGTGATATCTGGTCTACGGGATGTATTCTTTATGAGGTAATACAACTTCATTGAAAAATTAAAAAATTTTAATAGAGAAATTTAACACCTAGATGGCTGCTCTCGTCTCTCCCTTTTACTCGGCAACTATAAATCTACAAAACCTGTGTGAGCGTATACAGAGGGCAATGTATCCTCCAATAGAAAATGAAATTTACTCAGACGAAGTAAGCACATGTGGATAATTATTAGGTCGATAAATAAAAACTTATTTAATTCTCAGCTGCATGACTTGGCATACTGCTGCCTGAACATAAATCCAGACGACAGACCTACTTCTGCAGATGCCCTGACTTTTGCTACGGAGATGCATCAACGAACTTTATCCCAACACGAGACAACCTCTGTTTAAATTTCACAAGCTGTTTTTATTGCGTGTGCGACTATCTTTTAAATTCTGATGTTAATTAATTAGCTTGGTTTTAAAATGTGTAAAATTGTGCATGCTCATCGACTAACATATCTTAACTATAATAGACTATCAGTTACTATTCTCAATTTGAAGACAATAAATTACTCAAAAATACTTAAGTATTTCTTTAAGTTTAATCTTAATTCAACAATCGACCACTCACACAATCACGACGAAGCAGAGGTGCCTGCTAATTGGCTTTTTGACTTTCCAACTACCTTCGGCATCTTCTTGTTTGTAGAGTCCTCCAGTTCCCTGGCCTGGTAGTAATGCGGTGCAACTTCCAAAAGCCATTTGCTTTCAATTTCAGTCACCTACAATGGTTTTAAGTCACAACATTTATTTCAAATATTAACTTAAAATAGCGTACTTGTCGCATGAACTCCTTAGTTGTGACTACTAGTTCGTGATACAAAACCCATCGTGGCAACTCCTCAAATAAGCAGCTGTTAGGGTGAATTGTAACAGTCTGGTTGTGCTTTGCTGTTTTGTATTGGCCCCCTTTGCCTAATCTCGCAATGTGATAGAAATATCCAGCAGTGATGGTCTGAAATTGAAAAAAAAATTATAATAATGATAAACAATAAATAAAATTAATAAATTAACTACCTTTCTAATATTAATAGATTCTGATGGATTGGACTCCAACTTGATTTCGACTCTTTGCATCAGCCCAGATAATTGTTCTCTAACATCTCTTGCCCTCTTCATTGACCTAAAATATGAACATAGTTTATAAATATAAAAATTTAAGTTCAATGAATTATTTTGGCTTTTACCTGTGTTGAATATAATTTTCGTAGCACCATTGTGTTGAGAAATCAGACTGAGCCCACTCATTGTATACATTCAAAAGGGTCAGGTGATCTCCACCCTGGGCAAAGAAATTTTTCCTGGCAGTGTCAGCATGAATGGCTTTGTCTTTCGGCCGGTAGAAAAGGGAGCTGTTTACTGACAACATTGCTGCAATTGTCAGTATCTCTTCTGAGCACTTGTACCTAAATTTATGATTTAAGAAAAAAGGCGCAAATTACAATCATTTCTTACTTTTCTGAAGCCAATAACATTTTTCCCATCATCGGATCAACAGGAAATTCAGCCATTCGCCGACCTAATTTGGTTAGTTCACCCTCATGATTGAGTGCCCCCAAAGCATACAGTTGCTCCAAAGCCAAAACTAGTGACTCATGAGGAGGCGGATCGAGGAAGTCGAAATTCATCAAGTCTTTAATACCAAGAGCCTTAAGCATCAGAACTGCATTTCCCAGGTTTATCCTCTGAATTTCAGGAACGGTGCACTCTTCCAGCTCATGAGCGTAAGCCCAAGCTGTGTAAAGACGGAAACATTTACCAGCGGCAACCCGACCTGCCCTGCCTGCCCGCTGATTTGCTGAAGCCTAATTTAAAAAAAAAAATTTGTTTTTAATTTAATTCAAATCAATAGGAAATTGTGATATTTTTACCTTCGAAATGGGGACTACCACAAGTGACTCCATACCAGTCTTTGAGTTAAAGTTGTTTTGCTTGCAAAAGCCAGGATCAATAACATAAATGATGTTGTCAATAGTGAGCGAAGTTTCAGCAATGTTAGTAGCCAAAACTACTTTTCTAGCACCTGGAGGAGTTGGCTCAAAGATTTTTGCCTGCAGAGAATAATTATTTTAGTATATATTGGATGCAAAATACTTTACGAAACTTGGTACCTGCATTTCTGATGGCAAATTTGCGTAAACTGGCAAGATGAGCAATTCTTTGATTTTGTTTCCCAAGCGCCTTGACCTTTCTGTCAACAACTCTTGGCAAGCTTCAATCTCGTCCTGGCCAGTGAGGAAAACTAGAACGTCTCCCAGAGGCTGACTGACGTGGATTTGCAACACTGACACAACACAAGCATCAATATAGTCAGCCTCAGGGGCTTTTGTGTAGTAAATGTCCACTGGGAATCGTCTGCCTGGAATTCTGAAAATTGGCGCATCGTCGAAGAACTCGGAGAATTTCTCTGCGTCCAAAGTAGCACTGGAAATCAGCAGTTTCAAATCTGACCTGAAGCGAACAATGTCTTTCACTAGGCCAAATAGAATATCTGTGTGAAGTGTTCGCTCGTGAGCCTCATCAATGATCATGACGCTATAAAAATCATAGTGTGCATAAGAAAAAATGGAAAAAAAAATTGAAAATTGTTCACCTATAACCTTGGAGATCTGGCTCTGAGAGGAATTCTCTATGCAAAGTTCCATCAGTCATGTACTTGATGATAGTTCTCTCGGAAGTGCAGTCTTCAAACCGAATGCTGTACCCAACCTAAAAATAAATTATTATTTCAACGTTATTAAGAATTTAAAAAATTAATTAGTCTGACCTCATTTCCTAATTTTACACTCATTTCTTGGGCTACTCTGGCTGCAACACTCATAGCAGCTACACGCCTAGGCTGAGTGCAGCCGATTTTCTTGTTGTCGGCTGTGAAGCCAGCTTCGTGCAGGTACTGGGGAATTTGAGTGGTTTTTCCTGAGCCAGTTTCGCCCTCAATAATCAGCACTTGATGGTCTTTAATTGCTTGGATGAGGTCGTCTCTGTATGCAAAAATTGGCAAACTTTTCTTGGTCTCTGCGATAGTCATTTTCTTTTTCATGGCCTCCGAAATCTCTTCCATTTCATCTTTCTTCCTGTTTCCCGGATCTTGCAAAGCTTGGATGAATTCGATTTCATCATCAAGGAGCATGTCGTACTCGTCCTGGGTTTTTCTTTTGCCTGCGTCCCTGGCCCCAAATCTGAATTGTGCAGAAGACATTTGTTCCTCTTCCCACTTTCTCTGCTCTGAATGTGGAGCCTTTTCTCGCTCGTCAATTTCAACATATTTGTCTTCTTCTCCCTACGATCAAAAAATTACATGAGCACATTTTACAAGTTGATTAAGAACTCACTTTCTTTCCAACGGGCATATGATATCTTTGAATGTTTTCCAACTCCCTCGCTTTGTCATGTTCTTTTGCAAGCTGGAGCAATTTCTTTTTATGCTCTCTTTCCTCCCTTTCTCGTTTCGACAGACTAAAATAATGGAATTTGTTACCAATAAGTTCAAAGTAGGGTAAAAAAAATTATTAAAACTGACCTTCTTTCATCAAAGAGATATTCATCATCCCTAATGTCAGCTTCCAACTCATCCACCTTTTCTTCCTTCCTTTTTGCCAAATATTGTCGCCTCGACTCTTTTCTCAAGGTAGGCAACAAATTGTCTCTATCCAAGGCCTCCATTTTCAATCTCTTTGCCGCTTCTTCATATGATTTGGTATCTGAAATTTTTATTAAGATTATTTCAGTTTATTTCATAAAATGATAGTTGAAAACATACTGCTTTTATCCACGACTTTCTTCGTCTTGTCCAAATCCTTTTGCTTGAGGCGCTCGGCAAACTCGTCTCGCTCCTTGAGATCTCGAAGCCGCTCCTTTTCCATGCGGTCATACTCATCTTCTGACGAAGAATCTCGCTTCCTCTTGCTACTACTCTCACCATGTCTGTCCCGATCGCGTTTGTGCGACTTCTCCTTGTGTTTTCCCATCTAAAATTATTTCAACAGAACATTTAAGTTTTTTTCGTGAATTATGAAAATTATAGAATATTTTTAAACCAATAGGTGTTTATTTTCTAACAGAATAATACAGAAAAATTAATTAACTAATTTCATATTTATTTCCCATCTCCAAGTCGGGGGAACAAGGTCAACTTTTGGCTTTGCAAAGTTTTCTCTGCAGACGTTTTGTCCCAAACAAATGTTTTCAAATCAGCCCAATATCTATTTTCTAAAGGAACGTCTAATTTTTCCAACAACTGTCCAGTCAACTTAGGAATCACTGGCTGCAGAACAATTCCAACTACACGTAGAGTTTCCAGAGTCAGACTCAAAATTGAATGCATTTCCGCACTGTCTCTCTGCAGCGTCCACGGTTTTTGGTCTTCAAAAAACTTGTTCGCCTCCTGCAGCACCAAAATCACTTCATCAACTGCTTTGTAGAAATTGAAATCCTCATAATGCTGCTTCGTCTTATCCGGTAACTCTCGAAGGGCTTCCACTAAGTATTGGTCGCCAACAAGTCCCGAAACATAAACGGGCCACACTTGTTTTGGATTTAAAGATTTTCCTGTGCAGCGGTTTAACAAATTGCCCAACTTTCCAGCCAACTCTGCATTCAGAATGTTGAAGACCTTCGTCTCACTAAAATTTGCATCACTATGGTTTGTACCTTCTCGAAGAAGGAAGTACCTCAACCCTTCTGCAGTAAATTTCAACCTTATCTCTCCTCTAGGGTCAATGACATTGCCCCTGGACTTTGACATTTTCTCGCTGTCCACTTTCCAGTGTGAGTGACAGTGGATTTGCTTCGGAGGCTCCAGACCAGCCGCAATGAGCAGCGAAGGCCACAGAATGGCGTGGAAACGTAAAATGTCCTTGCCTATCACATGGACGTCGACGGGCCACTTCTGCAAAGTGTCTGGAAAGCCAGCGACCGTCAGGTAGTTGATCAAGGCGTCCATCCAGACGTAAATGGAGTGTCCAGGATGGTCAGGGACTGGGATACCCCAGGGCACTCGATGGGACGGTCTGGTGATGGAAACGTCATGGAATCCCTCCCCGACCCACAGCTGGACCAAGTCGTGGAACTTGCGAGGCTGGATGACGTGTTTGTCCTTTAACCAGTGCAGAAGGTCATCCTTTACCGCAGATATTTTGAATAGGAAGTTCTGCTCGCTGGTCCACTCAACAGGACGGCCCGACTCGGAGGAAATTCTGGCCCCATCTGAAAGTTTTTCAGTTCTCGTTTCTGGTACAAAAGCCTCGTCTGCCTCGCAGTACCATCCAGAGTAGTCACCGGTGTAAATTAAATTTTTACCCTCGAGTTTCTTCCAGAAGGCTTGTACGGCTCTCTTGTGCTCCGTGCTGGTTGTCCGGACAAATTTAGAAAAGTCCACGCCGTACATTTCAAGCATTTCTACATACTGATTGGATATTTGGTCACAGTACAACTGAGTGTCAATTTTCCCAGCCGCTTTCTGCACTTTGGAGCCATGTTCGTCGGTACCCGTGCTGAGAAACGACGGCGATTTTGAAACAAGGTGCTGAAATCTTTGGGCAGCGTCAGCCACCAGGGAGGTGTACAGGTGTCCGAGGTGCGGTGAGGCGTTGACGTAGAAAATCGGCGTTGTGATGAAAAAGTTCTTGTTGCTCAGATTGCTCAGGCACCGTCTCTTCGGCAGAAAGTGTAGCATCCGACTAGAATGCACCAGTTTTTGCAGCACTCGCTCCATTCTGATTTGCTGTGGATGTGGACACACAGCCTCAGTTCTCGGACATGAACACTTGTTTTGGTTATTAAATCAATTTATACAAAGTAATATGTAGTTATGAATAAGTGGTAAATCAAACCATGCAAAAACCAGAGTTGGAGATGGGAATTTTTTACAAGTTGGTGTTCACAAAAACACGTATTTAAAATCAATAATTTTCAGTTTAAATTTCCTCTGAAGATAAAAATTTAAGATAAGTTTAAGTGAAAAACATTTACTGTAAGAGATACACACCTTGATAAAAGTAGAAATTCGGAAATTATCCGCTTTTCAAGTGATTTTTCGATTGTAAACAAAAATTTCCGGCAGATCAGCGGCCATTCGTGTTCGTTCACGTGGGAAATGAATGCGCATGCGTAGAGCTCCTTTTGGTTAGCAAGTGGCGCGAAAGTGACGTGCGTGCGATTATAGCGCGATGGTTACTGTGGAAACAAGAAAACGTTTCAATCGATATAGGCAATATAGATATTAATTGTGTATTTTTGAATTATATTTCCAACACTCTAGCTAAATTCAAGATGCTTACAAAGGACAGCAAAAAGGGTAAAATGAGGGAAATTTCTAGAGCCCCAAATTCCGCTACTCAACAGTACAGTGACGAAACTCTAGAACTTTTGAAAGGTGAAGTATCTTACCTTGTATTTAATTATATTGAAATCGTAATAATCGTATGTAACTTAAATTTCGTAAATTTCATTACTTCCATCAATCTCGTAAGGCATGATGGAAGAGTGCCGCTTATCAATGCTTCAGAGAAAACGTCTGCAGCAATTCGTAGACCGAGGCGAGCCGCTTCCAGCTTTGACAAAGAGTGATCTCAATTCGACAACAATGAACAAAACTTCAAGATCAATAAAAAATACTGCTGTGACAGATGGCGTAAAGCAAGTTAGAATCGGTCGGAAAAGAACAAAAACTATTATAGCTACAATGGGTGCGTATGAGAGGGAAAATTGCAAGCCCAAACCTGGAGGTATATCTTTTTTTAATTGCAATGCAAGTTTAAAAAAATTAAATATATGCTTAATGATGATTTGAAGTGGACAAAGACGTACAAAAATTAAAACTGCAGAATATCATGGCGTTTGGCATTGAGATGACTCAATATTCTGATAGGCCCGATAGAGGGAAAGGCCCTGTAAGAAGAGTTCCATCCTTAGAAAGAAAGGACCGCTTCGACGAGCGTAAGTCATTTGCTATTGAAGGTTTTTTTTTCAATTAAAATTTTTGCAATAATTGAAAATATTTTCAGTCATTGAAGATATTCACGATCGATGCCAATTTTTGCAAGACGTTGCTGAATTAGGAAAAGCTGACCAATACAAATCAGTTATGGAGAGCGAGATTGCTGCAAAATTGAGCGCAATGAAAGCAATTGATCCATTACGGTGTGAAGAGTTTAAGAGACAACTCAAACTACCGTGCACGTTTCGAGTGTCTGTGAAAAATAAGGCGTAAAAATAATTCTCGAAACAAAAACTATATTAGAAACTAATTTAAGTCTAAAAAAATAATTCATGATTATTAGACGCATTGCTTTCAAATTATATTGGAAAGGAATAACAATATAACTAAGAAGTTTATTGTATAAATATAATAAAAGCATCCTTTCTCTTTCTCGCTTGAAACACTGGTCATAATTAATGTGGTGCGGCTAGTGCCCGTGAGCTAATTAAAACACTTGTCAATAATAATAATGTTGATATTGTATTGTACACAAACTTATTGGGTGATTAAAATTGCCGCCAGCAAATCCATCAAGCTAAAGCATATGCAGCAATAAAATTAGGCACTGGTAAAATCATTAAATAAGTAGGACAAACAAGCATTTTAAAATACATAAACTTTTTATTTTATTGGCCAAGTTTAATAAAAAATTGAATATTAAAGTAATGAGTAAATGTATGAAACAATGAATGACAAAATACTTTGATGAGATCCTAAAATGGGGCGATCAAGGGGGAAAATTCAGTCAAAGGAGGGGAAAGCATAACAAGTAATTAAAAATTGTGTTATCTTGGAGTCAGAGTAATTTTGATTCCATGCTTGGGTACCAGCACGGTGTTGGGCACGACGACCAGCTTATCCCTGGGATCTTTCGATTTCACAACATAGCGACGAAGGATGGTGGAGAGGATAGTTTTTTCCGCAAGCATGGCAAACTTTTGGCCTGTTTAAAAAAATAGAATTAGTAAAAGACGCCCATTGTAATTTTTATCATTTTACCAATGCAATTTCTAGGTCCGGCGCTGAAAGGAATATAGCTGAAAGCGTGGCGCTTCTTTACATTTTCTGGTAAAAAGTTGTCTGGGTTGAATGTGTCTGGGTCAGGGAACTGCTCAGGGTTTCGGTGAAGCACATAAGGAAGAATGAGAACGTCTGCGCCCTTAGGAAGGATGTGCTTTCCCATGGGCTGATCTTCAGTCAGCGTCCGGGCAATAACTGGAACGCTGGGGAAAAGACGCAGGGCCTCTTTAATGCATCGTTCCAAAAGATGCATGTCACGGAGGTCGTCCATTGTTGGGTCGCGATCTGATCCTTGGAAAATTAAGTCCAATTCATGCACAACTTCATCCTAAAATAAAAATAAGTTATTTAATTATTGTTTTATTTCTCGTTTTTTTTAACCGTACTTGAATTTCTGGGTTATTTCCCAGAAGGTAGATACAATAATTGATTGCCAATTGGGTTGTATTTTGGCCAGCAAACATGAAAGTGTTCACTTCCTCTCTAATGTCCTCGTCGGTCAAAAGGTTACCGTTGTCTGAAGATTCAATCAGCAAGTCCATGAAAATAGCTCTCTTTTTGCGGCCTGAGAAAAAAAATATTTATAAAAAATAGATAGATCAATAAACACAATTTTGCAACTAAAAAAAAACCAAAGTAGGATTAAAGCCTAATTACCAAAATCAGATTCTTCACCCTCCTTCACAACTTGCAATTTTTTATCCTTGCTTTTCTGCTCCGCTATAAATTGTTTTCTTTCCTTGATCACTTTGTCCGTAAAGTTGTGCAAAATGCTCTTGTATTTGACTTGCTCCCTTCCTTTTTGAGTAAAACGGAAGATCCAGTCAGACAAGAGCCAAGGCCTGATCATTCGATAAATGCCGATTTCCTCAAGTCTGTGTAAATAAATGTTAATAACCGGTTACATTATTAATTAAATACAATAATACTTGTGAATTGCAGACACAATTTCAAGACGCTCATTGCTCTGAGCCTGAATTGGAGTTCCCATTGCAGTTTCTAATAGGAAAAAAATAAATATATTTTCTTCATAATTCAATAAAAACAAAAATATTTACCACAAATAAAATCAAGAGTAAGCCGCTGGGTGTATGGACTGATGTCAAAACTTCCAGTGCCCTCCTTTTCCTTAAGCCTCTCCATCAACTCTTTGCTCCTTCGCACAAACACGTCCAGAAAGCTTTCCAGAATATTGAAATGGAAAGTCGGAGTGATCAGTTTACGATGAGCATGCCAGCGGCTTCCTGAATTTTAATTACATTAGTTATAAGAAAATCAACTTAAGAAATAAGAGGAAGTGAATTTAGTTCCAGTTTTGTGTTCGCGCGTAATCAGGTAAATCACTATGAATCGAAAGTAGGTAAACCGGTCTGTACATAGGTGCATAATAAGAGCAGCACAGCAAGAGTGCAGCGCGTAAGAGGGCGACCTTCAGGTGCTGAGGTCATTCATTGCTGGTTATTTACCTTTGCTAGTGATCAGGCCTTCTCCGAGTAGCGCCTTCAGACCCTTGTAAATGAACCCTTTTTCGGCATGTTTGTTTCGACTCAAAATTGCCTGCGTTAAAAATATTAATTTAATTATAAGATAATAAAACACACTTTCAAATTACCTGAACAGCTTCGGGAGAGTGGACAAGAAGTAGAGGGTGGAAAAGGATTTGCGTCTTGTGAAAGATGGGAAAATCTTTGCACCATTTTAGGGCCCGATCAAAAAATTCTAAAAAATTAATATTGTCGTCAGAATTGAAAAATTAAAAACAATTAAAAATTTTACGTACTTTCTTTGGATGCAAAATCCGCAGCGTGTCCCAAAATTGGGTGTGCATTTGGGGCAGGCAGGCGCTGGGCCATCAGGAAAACCCTTAGCCAACGCTGTAGCGCCACCAAAACAGGCACTGTGGCGCAGAAAAGCACCGCGCTCCACAGCAAGGGTGTAATACCCACTGCGGTCTGGAAACAATGATAAATTGTTTATGACAATTGCAAATTATTTATTTTTGGTTAATTAAAAAAGTTTTGTTTTAGAAAAGATTTTTGAAAGAAATCTTTAAAAAATATATTTAATTTTGTATGGTATAATAAGATAATAATTTGACATTTTATAATAAAGTTTGACACAAAAGCTACATTAATGAAAAAAAAATACGTCTAATATCAAGACACTTATGAGTAGTTGTATAAACATTTGCAAAAATGTTTTACCTGAACGAATGACATGGTGCCCTGATGGAATTAGGAAGCACCACACTATTAGCTCTCAACTTTGGGCGTACGAATTTCCCTTTGCCGCTGTCTCTGCCTTTGAACGGCCAGACAACAGAAAAACACACATCGCCGCCAACCTTTGCATTTATACCTGGGTCTCCCACTTGCGGGGCAAAAAATCTAGTTTTGCCAGTCGTGCGCTACATCCTTGCTGACCATTAGAATACAGGAATACGGAAATGCATAGAAAAATTGCGTCTGTAGCAAAATAGCTGGAAATGGCTCTTAGATATATTTTGCTTTATAAAAATGGTAATGCTTCAGGTCTCCAAGCAATTATTAAACATTTAATATGTCATAATATTTATACACTGATAAATTATTAACCACTTATCAATGTTTTAAAAATTATTTTAATATTAAATTAGGCTTAGACGTCATGATTAAAAATTCAAAACATTAAACGTTTAAGACATAACAAAAGAGATACCAAATTGAGCCTTACTCTCATATAAAAATAATAAGCGCATGTGGCATCAAAACTGTCAATCGATAACAGATTAAACAGACGTGCTCCTGTGGCCATGAGTAGACGGCACTGTTCAGCAGTGTTATTAATCTTGCAACAGTCAACATGCGTTTCGGAAGGAGACACAAAGATTCGGCCAGGTAACTTTAAATGTGACAAGTTCATTTATTTTTTTATAAATATTAAATATCCCATATATAAGTTTCATATTAGCGGGCTGAATATTATTGACAAATTCGAAATAGAATGAGAACCTTTTAATCTTACCAATTTAAAGGAAAACGTAAAGATGGTGAGATTCAAACAAACTTTTTTTTCAGATAATTCTTTATAAAAATCAGATTTTGATCAAATTGCATTAGTAGCACAAACAATTGACACATAATACATTATATTTAATTTCTCTAATCAAAAAATTTAATAAATTAGTAATAGTAAATAAAACATTGTTAGAGAAGGAAATTAATATTGTTTCACTAGACATTTTAATCAAATTTATTTCTCCAATTTAATTCAATTTCTAGATAGTAATTTTTTGCTCATTAAATCAAATGAGTACTAGAGTTTGATGATTAAATAAAATAAATGATTGTTTTGTACATGGACCCACAGTTGCGATAAAAAGGGTGCATGTGGCCACGGAAGCTATATCACATAAAAAATGAACAATCTCTAACGTCAAATCAATTCCACTACGATAACAGAAACCGGTAGCATGCATACACAATGAATTAGCCTTGATTTGGGGGAAAAACGCCTGTTATTATCTCTTTATTGTGAACAATCTTATCTCATTGTCAGCTTTCCTCTTGCTTCTGCCTGTAAAATCAATCAATTTCTTTGAACTTCTGTTAAATTTTCCTCTCTATTTTATTTTTTATTTTAACTGGATGTTTTAATTATCAGATAACTGCGCAAGCTTCAATATCGCAAAATGATTTTTTTTTTTTTTTTTTAAGTAGGGAACAATGGTGTAATAGATAATGCAACCTGCTGGCTGCTGGTCGTATTCGTATGCTACGGCCCTTATTATATAGAACGGGAAACTGTTTGGATTTTCACAGCACGCGCAGCAGGAGCAATATAATTCCCTCATCTACAGCAGCATAGCCTGTGTAGATTTCTCCCCCTGTAGTGACAATAAATTATAAAAATGTCACCAGAAATATGAGACACTTGTTTATAAAAGAAGTTTTTGGGGCCAGGATTTCATGCTCGGCCAGCAGGTTGAAAGCGCTTTTACAAAATTCCCCAGGTCGAGATTATTTTTTTGTGCGTGTGATGTATGCCCCCGCTCATTCTCAAGAATTTTAGGCCTCTTGCAGAGCGAGAATTTTTTACGAGCTACCCTCACAGCATGTGGGGGTTGCAGAGTGCATGGGAATGTGAGATCTTAATGCCTCTTTTATGTTCGGACAACTCATGTGGAAGATTTCATTTGTCACGCAGGCAATTAACGTGGCTTTTTGAGCCAGGTCTGCAGGAGTTTTGAGGAGGTGCACCGAAAAGCCTCCCTCTGGACCAGGCGGGGGAGGCTTTTAAGAAAAGAAAAAATAATCTTTGAAAGAAAAATATTTGTGAATGTTGCAGCTCCGCCTCATCTGCAGAAGCTGCATTGACACCTGCGCGGCCGCGGCGCGAGTACAAAAATGCTATCAGGGATCCTGAGAAAAATCCATTCCTTCAACGAAATTTGGCTAATCCCACAACGTAATTAAGTTATTCGCGTAAAAAATAATTATTAATTAAATATTTTAGAGATCTGGAAACTTTAATTCATTTAGCAAAAGGAAGCTTTGGAACAGGCGTCTTTGCCATACCATTTGCCTTTGCAAACGCTGGTCTGGTGACGGGCCTTGTAGGGTCGCTCGTAATTGGTTTCATCTGCTCACACTGTGTTCACATATTGGTAAAAATTTAACAAAATCTGCTGAATATAAAATATTTGCAATTGATTGTGCAATATTAGGTAAAAAGTGCACACGAACTATATTGGCGGCATAATATTCCAGCTCTAAATTTCGGAGGAATAGCGGAAGTTGCATTTCGCGAAGGTCCAGAGAAGACTAAAAAATTAGCAGTTGTTATAAAGTCAGGATTTTAAGTAATTAATTTTAAATGGCTTAAAACTTAAATTAATAATTTCTAGGATAATTATACAGTGCTTTATCATGATCATCGCAATTGGCGTGTGTTCCATTTTTTTAGTTTTCGTCGCATCCAATATAGCGCAGGTGGAACCCAGTAATATTTACATATTATAATTTTTAATTTCGTAAATACAATTTTTAGGTGATTAATTTTTACACAGACTCGAATATAGACATAAAGCTGTACATTTTGATGGTCGCGGTGGTGGCGACGGCACTGGCAATGATACGAGATCTGCGAGTGCTCGCCCCGTTTTCCCTTCTGAGCAACATACTGGTTATGGCTTCCGTCGTCATAGTCTTCATTTACATATTTGACGATCTGCCGAGCATAAACGAAAGAGAAGCTTTTATGCCCGCAGCAAGGCTTCCTATTTTCTTTAGCATCATTGTCTACTCGCTTGAAGGAATCAACGTGGTATAATAAAATAAATAAATAAATAATACAATCGTTAATTGCAGAGACTTCAACGATTGCATTTTTCAAAGAGATAATTTTTTTACAAAGGTGATGCCATTGGAAAATAATATGAAAACTCCAAACAATTTTCTTGGCCGTTTTAACGTCCTGAACACAGCTCTAACAATGATCGTTTGCCTTTTCACAATGGTTGGATTTTTTGGTTATCTGAAGTATGGAGAAGAAACGGAAGGAAGTATTTCATTAAATCTCCCCGAGGACCAAATGTATTTCTCATTGATCTCAAATAATTTACATCTTTGAAATCATTTTTTTTTTCAGTTTGGCGCAGTCTTCGAAAATAATGCTGTCGGTCGCAATTCTCTTGAGCCACCCTCTTCAATTTTATTGTGGCGTGGAATTTTCGTGGCCCAAACTGGCGCCGATGATTGGCAGAAAATTTCCTCGCTTCAGCGGACTTTTAGGAGAATATATTTACAGACTCTGTTTGATTTTAATTACTGGTATTATTAATAAGAAAAATCTAAAAAAGTTTTATTAATAATAAAAAATTTAGTGATCATTGCGGTCGGCATTCCAAATTTGGGAGCTTTAATTGGGATTGGAGGCTCCGTTTGTCTCTCAACATTGGGGCTGATGTTTCCCACAACAATTGAAACGATCGTTTATTGGAAGAACTGGGGAAAGTGGAACTGGATGCTGTGGAAAAACATTTTGATTTTCCTGTTTGGCATGCTGGTATTCATAACTGGCTTTGCTGGAAGCATTTTGCAGCTGATTGTCTCATTCCAAGGTGGTGACCCTGAAGAGGGCAGCCTATTATCAAACTTAAAGCAGCTTTCTGATAGTTTGTTTTAATCAATGAAAAAAATTATTTTAATAAAGTTCAAAATATGTTATTAAAAAAGCTTCACTAATTTCAAAAATTTCTGACCCTCAATCCTCAATTTGCTTAAATTTTATTAATTTTGAGATAGAATTTTGTTAATATTATTTGTTAAAAAAATGCATTATTTGTTTGATTAGCGCGTGGAGTATCGACCACGCGATAAGGCGTATAATTTTTCATATATTGCTTTTGAATATTTGATCTGGTCAAGAGAGATAAAGAGGTGCTTGTCAGATTGTAGACATGAAGGGTTGTTGGGCAATCTCATTTGATTTATTGGAGTCATAGCTCTCCGCACTGAAGGAGGAACGGAGAGACCAAATATTCTCAGCTCACCAATACAATGAGGTATTTTAAATTTATTATTCCTCAAACTAAATTAGTTAAATTATGAATTTATAAAGCGCCCTATTGCTTTAATTTACATTTTTAAATTTAGATTAATTTTCCAATAATTTCTGACACAAATAACACAAAACTAGAACATTTTGAATGTTCACAGAGCATTTTAAATTATAATTTCATAACTTTGGTTTAGTCAGAAAAAAATTTAATCATGTTTTATTCCGTGAAGGAGTTCATTTATAAGAATCATAAAAACTGCTTTCCAAGCTGAGAAAAAAAGGCTGTATTGAAAATTTAGGTTTTTAGCACATCCAAAGACATATTTACATTATAAAAATTGTATTAAAATTTAAAATTCAACTTGTAAGTTAATTAATACTTTTTTTTAGTTTTTTAGAGTCACATGTTGAGTAGGCTATTATTATTTAAGTGCGCAGATATCTTCACTCCTATACAATAAAAACTGGCTATTCATGCGTGCCGTATTAAATGACATTAATATTTGCACTATCAGAAATATAAGGCACAATGCCGACCCTTGAAGATAAAAATATTAAATTATAAACGATTCTTGAGAGGTTCTCATTATCTAAAATTACGTTAGATGGGTCCAGAATAAAGCAGTTTCAGCGATGCAAAAAAATTCAAGTTGTGCTTACGGTTAAAAATGAGCCACCCCTGCTCTTGCATCCTCCCTCGCTACCCCAAATTTCTTGAAGATGCCACTTGTTTTTAAACTTGAGACGCTTGGACTAGGTTTTCAGTATTGTCTAGGAGGTGAATTGGTTTAAGGGTAGGTGGTTGAAATGAAAATTCCTCCCGATCGGCACAAAGTTTTCTCCCCCTTAGAAAGCGCAACAGCTTTTCACACAAGGGCACTTAAAAGTGCGTCCTGCTGAGATTTTTAACAAAGCAAATTCGCTCACGTGGAAGAACACAATTCGTCATGGTAATAATTAAGTGACATTTCTGGCCAGGCCTTCATGCGCCTCTAGCAGGGCTGGATAAGCAAAGTGACCTTGGGGTAAGGGCTGTTTTTGGAAGGATGAATGTCGCAGTGTGAAATATGAGAGGCCAGGCACTTTGGGGGTGCTGCTGGTTTTCTTTCACACGCTCGTCGCCCCCAGCTACAGCTGCTGCAAACAGCTTGCTCAAGAGCACTGCGTTCTGATGCTCTTTCAAATTTTTTATTTTTTTTTTTTAATTTAAAAATATAGTTTGGAAAATCATCATACCAAGAAGCCATATTTTTTTAAGATAAATTTTTTATAGATGATTGTATTTAATCCAGTATGAGCGAAATCCTTATTTTAAATGAGATTTTATTAAAAAAATGACCACGTGTTTTACAGCACTGACAAAATAATGGCGGAGTACAATGTCAAAGTGGTGGTCACTAAAAAGAATCAGCGCAATGCTAACGAAAGTCCGTTTTTAAAAAGAGAAGTGGCACATCCAACGTCGTAAGTAAAGACTTTTAATTTTTTAGCGGAATAAAAAAATGCCGGCCTAATTTTTCAGAGATATAGAAACTTTGATCCATCTAGCAAAGGGCAGTCTTGGGACTGGTGTCCTGGCTATGCCCTTTGCATTTAGCAACGCTGGACTTGCACTCGGCCTCATTGGTACCATTTTTATTGGTTTCGTTTGCACTCACTGCGTTCATATAATGGTATTTTGACGAGTAAAATCATGAAAAAATTAATTATTTTAATTTATTTGCAGGTTAAAAGTGCGCAAGAACTTTGCTGGAGGCATAATATCCCAGCTCTTGATTTTGGTGACATTGCTGAGACTGCGTTTAAGAACGGCCCTCAAAGCCTAAGGCCGGCGTCTGGATTCGCTCGGTTGGAAATTTATATAAATTTTAAATCGACAAAAAATTTAAACATTTTCTTCCTAAATAGGGGATTTATTCAAACTCTCATTGTGGTTGTTGCTCTGGGGGCTTGCTGTGTCTATATTGTGTTTGTCTCTTCCAATCTCCAACAGGTAAATGAATTTATATTAAGAAAAAATGCCGTCTGATTACAAAAATATGCATGATTAAAGATTAAGGCCGGATGATCAGGAATAATCTTAATCGTTAGTTTGCAACATTCGACTTAAAACACACGTGGGTGCGGGAAAACGTACAGCTGATGGTTTGATAAAAAAAAGACGAGCGCATTAACTTTTGCTAATTAACTTTTTTATCTGGTGGCAGCATAACTTTGATTTATATTAATATATGAAGCCATCAATCATTTTAACAATAACCACATGCAAGTGCCAGGGGCTCGCCCTTTTCATAAAGAGTTGCGATTTTTTTTATATATTCTTCGTCACTTCATAAAGAAAAAGTTATAATCGATTTACAAGACTTTATCTTTGTAGAAGCGCGCGTGATTAATATTAAAAAAAAAAAAGATTCTTGATTGACAGTTAATATCTTGTACTTTAATATGTTACATTACGTACTTTATTTAATTTACACTGCAAGTACAGATGTTATGAGTGAATAATAATATTAATTACAATATCTTTTCGGTGCAATTAAAAAGCAGTTTAATATTGCACTAATTAAATTTTTATTTTCCTTTATTCATTCTTTGTGATTTGTGAATAAAAATAAGCATGAAAAAAATGACTCGGAAAAGAAAACATTAACAAGTTAAAAATAATCTATGACTGAGTTTTTTTATCCCTTATATAAATTGTCTACTTTTTATTCAATGCGGTTATTCAAATTAGATTTAAAATTATGAAAGCCAATAATTTCACCAATTTTTCAGGTGATCGACTTTTTCACAGGCACCACAATAGACATCAAGCTCTATATCTTGATGGTGACCGCTGTGCTTATGGCGCTGGCAATGATCAGAAATCTGCGACTCCTTTCACCCTTTTCGCTTCTTAGCAACGTCCTCTTCCTGGCTTCAATAGGCATTGTTTTCTACTACGTTTTTCAAGACTTGCCAAGCGTGAACGAAAGAGAGGCTTTCATGTCCATTACAAAACTGCCAGTATTTTTCAGCACTGCCGTTTTTGCTCTTGAAGGAATCACAGTGGTAATATTAATTTGTTCCTTTTTTAAATCTTTGCAATAAATTAATTCGTAAATTATATAATTTAATAATTTAATTAACTTTATAATATAATACACATGTAAAATTTTTCATCCAGGTTATGCCGCTGGAAAACAATATGAAAACGCCACAACATTTCACGGGCTGTTTCCGAGTTTTAAATACAGCCATGGCCATGATTGTCAGTATTTACGCGCTGGTCGGCTTTATGGGTTACTTGAAATACGGCGATGAAGTCGAGGGCAGCATATCGCTGAATTTACCTGAAGGCGAAATGTTAGCAAAAATTTGTTAATAACTGAAAAATCTATATTTAAAAAATTTAACTTTAGCCCGGCCCAAACTGCACAAATCATGCTTGCGGCTGCAGTGGCCTTCACCTACCCCTTGCAATTCTACTGCGCTATGGAGTTCACGTGGCCCTCGCTAGATAAATTCCTTCAGCGAAAAGTGCCAAAAATTAGTGGCTTGCTTGGAGAGTACATTTACAGAGTGCTTTTGGTTTTGCTAACAAGTAAGCTTTAAATGATTTAAAATTATTTTAATTGTTACTGTCAATAATGAATTCAAATTAATTTTAAAAGATTAGAATTTTCTTAATTATAGAAACTTCAATTTATAAACTTTATCAATTTTGAATTGCATCATTGCATATATTTTCTTCTCCAAAATCTACTGGGCAAAAAATGTGAAGTTTTATTTTATTTATAATTTTCAGTGGCAATTGCTCTTGCAATCCCAAATTTGTCTGCCTTGATGGGCCTCATCGGAGCAGTTTGCTTGTCAACCGTTGGGCTCATGTTTCCTGCAATTGTGGAGACGATTGTTTATTGGGAGGACTGGGGCTGGGGAAACTGGAAATTGGTTAAAAATATTTTAATTTTCTTATTCGGCCTCCTTGGATTTGTGACCGGACTTTATACAAGCATTTTGGACCTGATCGCGTCTTTTGGTGGCGGAGAAGAAAAAGCGCTGCTCCTGTTGTGATTTTGGCGAGCGGTTAAAATCAATGTATGACCTCTATAAAAATTTATTTAATTGTGTTAAAATTGAACTTTTAATTATTTGATGAAGTAGTATAATGCTGATGTGTTTCAAAACTAATAAAATAAAATGAAAAATACGCAAGAGTTGCACACGAGATGTATTGCACGTGGAAGATGAAACGTTTTCATTAAATTTTTTTCTCAATATTATACAGGGGTACAGGGTTTAGTAATTTTGAAATCCAGAATAATTAAAAAGACTTTAAAATTCCTTTTACTTTTTTTCCGAAATCTATAAAAACTATAAAATTAAAAAGTACATAATTAATTTTCACTATGCGTGCTTTTCCAATAATAAGCATTGAAGGAGCATGCAAGAATTTATTAAAAAGCTGAAAATAAGCTCCCTACTCACTCATAGTGGCGGTGAGTGGTGTTATTCATGTGGGGGGCCCTCTTTTGCTCCTCAAAGGTGCGGCGTTGGCTATTGCAACCCCATGGCACTCATTTTCCCTCAAACTCCTAGAATTGCATGAAATCCCAGTAGCAATCTGCAGTGAGGGGTGAAAAGATCAGATCTCAGATAAGACGCGAACATTTTTTCCTTTTGTTATGATTGATGCGGGTGCGGAGCAAATAGGAGGTTCATTCTTCAAGTCACAAAAACCTCCCTACCACACCGTGTAGCAAAGAAAAATAACGGCGGCCTTGGTTTTCTTGCTCCCTATGCGCCTAAGCTATCAATATTGTCGGGTGATTCACCCTTCAATAATAAATCTCCTTCAGCCTTGGCACAGAAAAGCCCAGCGATCGCCTGGCCTTGGAAAACAAGGTCTTGACCTTGTTTATTCCTCAAAATCCTCAATCGCCTTGAACGTGAGGAAGGTCAAGTAGTTATGGCCTTTCTTGTTCACCGCGCGCTTCATAATTATTTTATAATTTAATTAGCAAATTATTGACAATTTTTGTTCAATCCTGGGCATTGCTAAAATATGAACTTTTTTAAGTATATAATTAATATTATAACATATAGTGGGGAATTTTTGTTTGGTTCATCCTATTAACAAACAAAATATTAAAATCATTTTTTTTTTTTAATAAAAAATAGTTGATAGATAGAAAGATAAAAATCATCACCCTCTGGTTAAATTGTGGCAAGGAATACATAAAAATAGAGGAGGTATCGTTGGTTTTGTTGCTTTGGGGTTTCATGTGCAACAGGAAAACTCAATGAATTTTGCCTTAGGTTGTGTTGTGTAGGGCGAAAATGCATGGCTTGCAGCTGCTCCAACACACAAACACATTCAATTAGTTTTTGTGCCAGGAGAGCTCAACATCTGCGGCCTGCTTGCCACCCACACCCACAATGGCCCGGCAACGGCGGCAACCCATGAAAATATAAGTCAATCGCCAACGCAGTAGCACAATATTGAAGGAGATTGATTCATTTTAAATTCATGTGCTACAAAATTTCTTTTTTTAATAGTTCGAAATTTTTAAATCAAAGATCACTTTAAAATTCTATCCTTTTTTAATTGAATTAAATGAATAAATACCTTTCGAACTTATTGATTAACAAGATTTGGATGTTTTTTTTTTTCAAAACTCCCAGACAAACTGGTAGCTTTCAAACATTACACCTCCATAAAGAAACTTCATCGTAAATGTTGAGGAGAGTGAAGTTTAATTTTCCGTCAAACAAGCTCACGATTCAATAGTTCTTTTTCATTGAAAAAATACGTACTCTAAGGTTTGTTAATGTTGTTTAACTGAGAAAAATTTGATTCCTGTTATTAAAAAAATTTATTGTCAGCAGAATAAATCAATGCCAGAAAAATGATGTTATTTTTCAATTTCTACAAAAATTATTCTAATCTCAATATTATAGTGAAATCCAGTGGAATTGAATTTTGAAGTATTTTTATTTAAAAAAACGTAGCTTACGCTCAGTCCAAAACATCTCTTGCTTTACAACAAAGTATCCTCGTTTCTGATATATTCTCCGATGTCTCCTTGGTTGTAACAAACAATGGCGATTGGGTCAGCATTTTTGCAGTCAGCTGTTGCCTTGGCAGAAGTTCCGAAACCCTTGAAAAATTAATTGTTGTAAGCTAAAGTAAAATAAAAATTAAATAAATTTTACCAATGGCATGTCGTTCATTGAAAAGATCACGACACCCTGATTTTTTGGTGTGCCCTCCGTGATTCTGCCCAATCCAGACTTCAAAACGTGGTGGCCGTAAAGAAACTGCTGCTCTGCACTGGATTTTAGCCAAATTTTATACTGGAGCAGAGATGAATATTATCAGATTTGAAAGTTTTCTAGCAATTTAAAGCCTCACTTGAGCATAAGGTGCTAGGTAGTTAAGGGCAGTGATGTGTAATTTAAATTTGTCAGATTTTGTGAATTTTCCGAAGCACGTTCCCGCGCAGATTAGCTGCTCCTGATTGCACGTTGAGGACAGATTTAGGATTGCCTGAGACATGTAGTAGACTCGGTCCTTGTGCTCTCTGAAGCAGTATTTTCCATCAGGCCGGTCAATGAGATGCTTGACATTTCCTCCAATGCTAGTAAAAAAATACAAATTAAGTTCAGTTTTATCAAATTTTTTGAGAAACTTACAATTTTGCCAGTTTCTCGAAAAGAATTTTTGTCCTCTCGTCACTCAAAATTTTCATTTTGCCTGTAGATTTATAAATTGGAAGCGAAGTAAAGTGTGCTAAAATTTTAAAACGACGTAAACACAACAAAAGCACATGTGTGTCTGATGATCGATGATGTGGAATGCGCCGATGCGAAAATCATTGGCCCGTCATATGGAAACACTCAGAAACCGCGGCAAACGACTGAAAACAACAGGGCAACAAGGAGGCCGTTTTACTATCTGTTTATTTATCTATTTTGAAACAAACTTGATTCGTTCCGTTTACCTAATCGTTATCAAGGAATACTTTATCCGTTCTTGATCGACCATGGAATCATCAATGGAAACCTCTTCAATGTCCACTGTAAGTTTGCAGTGGCAAGTACTTCTGAGCTACCTAACAGAATATTTTAATTTCAACATTTTAATATTATTAATTTTCGTAATTTTCCTCTCATTTTGCTTTTAGGGCGTGTTTGTATATAAGAGGAAAAAGTCAAAAACTCGAAGCAGCGGATCTCCATATAAAGGCTCCCCGTATAAAGGTTCCCCAAATAAAGCGAGAAGAGCTGTTCACGTAGAAATGACAGGCTATCCTAGTGAACCCTGGTACCCAGCTTACAAAAGTGTTCTAACCTCTCTGGAAGATGAAGTTGAAGTAAAATACAGATTTTTTAATCTACGCCATATTTTTGTTTGATAAATTTGTATTTATTCAATGTTTTTCTTTCACTGTGATACATACATTTTTTTATAGAATTTATTTATTATTAATTTATTGTTTTCTTCTTCTTTTTTTACAGAAAATGTACAGTCAGATGTTTGCTCAGCTTTTAGAAAATGTATCTTCGTTCTTTGAAAGCAAATCAAGTGCTAAAAACGCAAATGAAATCCCAACAGCGTGTATTTTGACTGGTACCATAATAGTCCTTACTTAAAAATTTCAGTCTATTCATTAGTATTTTGCTGCAGGTATCAACCTCCCTGATCATTCCATAATTTACAATGCTTTGGAAAAGAGATTGGTGTCTGATGTTACTCCGCATGTGGTGCTCCTTTCGTCGCGAACATGCTCCACCACCAGGCATTTGCTAGGCCAAATTTTGAATAAATGCCAGTTTGGAGAGTTTGAAATGGTATTTCAATACATTTTGATTCTTATTAGTAAACTAATGAATTTTTTACTTAGGACGTAGAATCTGCGGATGACTCTGATTGTGAATTCGCTGGTAATCAATCCAGAAAACGGGCCATCAAATGTACTTTCGCTGACGTCGTTGACTGGTACAATAACCAGGGCTCTGAAAAGCCCATCATAGTTGTCTTGACTGATTTTGAAGCTTTTGCGTCCAATGTACTGGGAGATTTCATCTACCTAGCTAGGTAAAAGAATATCAGATTTCAAAAGAAATAAAACCATTATTTTTTATTTTTGTATTGAATAGTGAGCATAGAAAAGTTTTACCGATGGCTCTTGTTTTTGGAGTTGCTACAACAGAGACAGCTGTCCACGATTCATTACCTCATAGAATCATGTCCAGATTGGCCATGGAAACGTTTGCCACTAAAAACTCCAAGGAATTTCTCAATCATCTCATTAATGAGGTATATTATAGTTTTCTACATTTTAGTAACAGTTCTGATATTTATTTTGAAAATTTGCATCAAACAGGTGATTTTAACACCCAAGTGTCTCTTTCGACTTGGTGGAGACGTGTTTAGAATGCTCACTGATATCTTCCTGTTCTATGACTTTTCAATTCAGAGTTTCTTGCAAAAATTTAAGGTATAGAAAATATTACCAGTGTAAGTTAACATCATTAATGATTTTTTTCTCCAGTTTTGCTTGCTCACTCACTTTGCTGACAAAGGAATTTTTGCACTCTACTCCAAAGAAGACTTGACAATTGAAATTATGAAAAGTAAAGAACTTGCTAAGTCCATTGTGCCCAAGCTTAAGTCGTATCGCAAATTTGTCGAAAAGCACCAAGGCGAGGAGAAACTGAATTTGCTGACCAATGACGAACATATCAAAGTGTGTTTATTTAAATTTTATATCTAAATTTATATAATAATTTATTTTCTCAAAAGGATACTCTGATTTGTCTTGCCACTGGTTTGCTCGAGCACTTCAATTACTTCCTTGTTGGACTAAAGTGTTTGTTAGAGATGACGGCATTTCTGCCCCAACAGCCACTTGGACGTCAGGTATTTTTTTTCATTCAGGTTTGCATTAAATATCTAACACAAAATTTTAAATTCTAGCTAAGTGACATGTACTTTGAGGCTGTGTCCCAAAAAGTGTGGCTTAAACCTGAATATATTAAATGTGTCAGTTTGTGGAAACACCTGTCAGGGGTGGAGATGGAAGAAAAAGTTGACAAACTTCTTGAGATCCTTGAAGGTTTGATTTGAAATTGATAATTTAAATCAAAATGCATTATTTTTTCGAACAGAGTCGTTGGGCGACCTTCCTGATTTGGAAGAGTGGATCACAAAAATTACTGCTGCTAACGAAAAACTGAAAAAGATCTTCTCAGGACAAAAAAGTGCCTCCTGTTCTCCTAAAAAGCAGAATAAACCAACAGAGCTGTCCGGACTCAGTCGAATTCAGCTGCAGCAAGTAGGTTTTGTTGCCGTGGTATCTGATTTTTCATTAATATTTTTATTCATTAGCAACTGAAAGAGCTTTCAAAGTCGTCGCCCTCTCAAAATAAATTTGAACTGGCCAGAGATGAGGTCATAAAATCGATTGAGCAAATGCTCAAAACATTATTGGTGCCACCTAAAGAGCTGCCATTGCATGAGCTGCTGCTGTTCGACAACCTAGATCTGGCCAAAAAGGAACTGATGGGAAATTCTAGACTTGCACTGAATAAAGCTCTTTTCAATCCTCACCACTACCTAAAAGTAATTCCAGGATTATTAAATTCAAAGCCGGGGCTTTGTAACATTTTTAAAATTATTTCCTCCAGTGCAAATGTTGCGAGCAGAAGTATGAAGAAGGAATCAGCACCTCGTACCCAGACGTTTGCATTTCTTATCACTTGCATTTGGAGTTCATGAAGCACATCAACCTTTATGATTGGCTTCAGGTGAGATTCAGTTATAGCATAACAAAAATTCGAAAATATAAATAAATGTATTTCAGTCTTTCAATTTAATTGTTGAACGAGGGGGCAAACATGATGATGATGAAGAAGAAGATTGCAAAATAAGCACAAAAACGCAGTATCCTTTTTGAGAGAAAGCTCAGTAAATGTTTAATTGTCTGTTTCCTTTTTTTTGCATTTAATTCTTGGTATTTTGTAAAAAATAGTTCAAAAGAAAAAAAAGTTATTATATATTATAGTCATTAGTTGGATATGAACCTTAAACTGAAATTCAGGGCTCGTTTTACACAATCCATTGCAGACTTGCAGTTCCTGGGCTTCATAAAACCAACGGCAAGAAAGGCAGATCATGTCCTCCGTCTAACTTGGGGCAACAACTGCGCCTGATTCTTGCCTGGCCGTAAGTGCACTTTGATGTAATTTATCAATTTTTTATTATGAAAATTAAAGTATATTAAACGCGTATTTATTCCGTCATGAAACTTGTTGGCTTCATTACTGCCTCCGCAATTAAAATTCCTCCAATGTTAATGTGCTGGAAGCGCTTTTGGATATAATTCTCTTTAATGCATTGTGTTGTGTCGGTTATTAAGGCAATTATAAATGGTCAGGAGAGAGTCCGCAGCGTAACACAAACACAGAAATCGGCACTCTCAAATTTACTTTTGATAAATGTCTATTTTTCTCCGATTCCTGTTCCTATTGTGATTATTCATCGCCAAGAGAAGTAGATTTAGGGCGCTATTACAGAAATGAGAAAAACTTGCGGTTTTTATCATTAAATCGCTTTCGAAAGGCAACTGGAACAGGAATCTAATCATAAGACGACAATCGCAGAAGGATAAATAATGTAAAATCAAGCGTTTTGATGCGCATTTAGATCAATCTTTATAGGTAATTTTCATCTACCTTTTGAGCAACTGCGAAGCCACCATCAAATTATTTCAATCAGTAATTGCACATTTTCTATCGCCGCGCATCATTATTATTTTTTTGTTACATAAACTGTGCTCACCAAGTAATAAATTGTTATTACATATTTGAGAAACCTCAATTAAAAAAACCCCTCAAACTTAGTTAATTTTATTTCTGAATTTCCTTCTTAACATTTTTTTTATACCATTAATCATATAATAACTCTTTGTTTTAACAATCGTATTATTTATTTAAATTCTGTAGTTTAAATTAACAATTCCCAACTGCAAGTTTATTGCAAGCGCATCATCGTCTCTCACTTGAAAACTCATTTCGACTCCGCTCTTGTTATGTATGTGCCAGGCCGAGGTGCATTTGCACACAAATTACAAGGCAAAATGCGACGCGAAATTACAAACAAGAGCTCCGGGGCTTTGATCCATTATTTAAATATGCAAGTATTGTGGTTATTGCGAGCCCCCTTGAGAGAAATTTACTGCGGCGCGAGGGGTTCTTTTCTCTCTGTGTGTATTTTCCATTTGACAGTGCAAACACCGTCGGCGCTCTCCTGATCTGAGCCGCAACACCAGCCGGCCCATGAAGAACGAACGAACGGAGCAAGAAGAGTTTAGCACTTGCATCTCCCCCCTCTGGCTGGTCTCTCTTCACTCGGCCTAGGTAAATTCAGGGACGCAGCACGCCGCGGTGCTCAGTCGCTCCTCGAACTCCCTGCCTTGAACAGCAGCAAAAGAAGCAAGACTACCTCAACATGCTCAACTCAACTCAAAGGTAAGATTCATTGCTAACTGAAAACTTGAAAATGTTGTGTAAATTTCAATCAAGATCAATTAAAGATTTATAGATTATTGTTAAAAATTATTTTAAGAATCTTTAATTTTAAAAAGTTGTAAAAAATTTCGTCTTAAAACAATTCAAGTGTTACTATAAGATTGCTTTCAAAGTTAACATAGAGCACATATAGAATAGTAGTGTTCTTCAATTTCATATGTTCTAATATTATACAAAATTAATTTTCGTACAATACTGTCATTTTATTCTACCAACAATTTTCTCACATTTCTCATAGGTGAATTATTTAGGATGAAAGTATCGATCTAAATTACTAAAATAGCCCCGGATAGAATTTAATTTTATCAAATTCACCTCATAACTCATAATATAATAAATCGTGAAAATTAAATATAATTTTTACGCCATATTTTCTTTTTTTTAATTATACAATTAACATTAAAGACGCATTGCAACTACCCTTCAAGTTTATTGTTTTCTTCATTTTTATAAAATTTATGAAACCTCAAAGAAAATTTAAAACGCTTTTTTATCGTTTTTTTTTTTTTTAATATTCAACCGCAAACCTTCCAAAAATAGCGCGTGCTTTACTAATTGAAAAAATTGCTGGCCTTGGAAAGAACGAGAACTTGAATATGAACATCACCCTATGAAAATGTAAAAACACAATAGGCGTTGGAATAAATCGATGATATCAGTGAAGCATAATAACAAAACGATCTCTCAGACCCATGCTGAGTAAAAGTAAAAAAAAAACTCATTTCCATGTCTGTCTGGACACGAGTTGCTACAAAAAACGCATCCATCGTCCTTCATCACTTTTTTCTATAACTCGCTCGTCTTCCTTTTGGAAAAAGAGAAAAACGCATCTTGACATTCAAAATGAAAGGGTTAGAAGTTGGAATGCTGCTCACAAGCGAATGGTGCTGACTAATTCCGAAAATCTACGGCCACACAACGCTTCACAATGGGTATAATCTCTGTTATTTGGCCGCCGAGCTCCCTGCATCGCGCGTAAATCAAAATTATAGTACGTATTGAAAGCGAAGGTGAGGGAGGCGTTTTTCTTTTTCTCTTTTCTTGGACGTTGTTATGTGTTATTACTCGGCGGACCGCCTGCGCCTTGCCCCGGAATATAATGGATCGAGATTTATGATTTTTGCTTCTCGATTTGATCTCCCCTTTGGCAGATAAAAAGTTTTAAAGTAAGACGAATGGGAGCCGCTGAAATGTAATCGAAAATATCCCGCCTGAGAAATGCGGCGTCTTTTAATATACAATCTCGTAGCTCGGTGATTGCTGTCTGTTTGATTTGGTGTGTGGTTTGCAGTGAAAAAGCCCTTTATGTACTCGGCAATATCCTCTGGTTCACCCATCAGTAACGAGAATAATGGAGAATAAGTACAAAAATTCATGGGAAAAAGTGTAATAATAGCTGGAATAAAAAAGTTTACAAATTTTGGCTTTATAAAACAAGTTAAATTTAATTACGGAATCAACAACTGAAATTACTGTATTGATATTCAAATTGAAAAATAATATAAACTTACCAAAATAGTTAATTATAATTATCAATAAAATCTGGGATTTCTGAGACATAGAAGTACTCAATATATTATTATATTAATGTCACAAAATATAAAATTCACTTTTCTTTTCATAACGTTAGATTAGTAGCTCTGCATAAATGTGATTGAAAATTAAAACTCTGCTCAGAATTAGAATAAAGCATTATTTTTTTGCAAATAAGCTTACAAAGATTTTTAATAATTTTTAAACAATTAACAATTATTAATTTAATCCTGTGACTCTAATAATTTAATAGAACAGCTTTTATGTAATTCTGGGTACTACACTATCTATTATTCCTTATGTACGTGAGAATAATTTGCCATGTAGAGTACTGTGCTTGCCTCAATCGCCTCCATAAAACTTGTAAGAATTGCTGGTAACGCCGCCTTTCAATACAAAATCAAAAATGCAGACACGATGAAGCCATTATTGTCCAATAAAAGGGTCAGAGTTGATCCTCGGCAAGCACTGCATTGGGTAAAAAAGGACTTTTGCCGCCGTAAGTCTATCATTATGCAAAATCAGGTTAGGCTAATCATGAGAACGTATGTAAATCGTGTCCCAGAGAGCCCATGCTGAGGGCATGTCGGATTTAAGTGACGCATGCTGTGCAGGATTCGCTTCGACAAAAAACCGCTATCCGCGCGCGAATTTTGCGATAAAGTTCAAGTAATGCACGCCGCGTCATGTAAAGTGGATGTCACGTTTGTTGCGCTGCCCATTGTCACACGGCAGGAATTTTATAACAGCAAATTTTGAAAAATCATGCTCCTTCAAAACTGCGAGATTTATCGTCTTCCGTCGCATGCCGCCGCAGCTCTTTTGCACACCACGCGGAGGCACATTTTAATCGCGGCCACATCTTGATAATGCATTTATGGAGGCAGCCAAAGGAACCGCAGGCCTATTCAAAAAATAAAATCACGGCATTATTGTTTCCTCAAAAGCAAAGTGCATAAATGCTGGGTTGTTTCGCATATAATTCTCATGTGCTATTTCCATCAAAGCCTAACAATTATGACCACGTGGAATGAAAAAATAAAGAGCTACACAATAATTCTTGATTTAAATGGAGTAAATTAATTAAGCAGAAAAGTTTAAAACGACTGAATCAAATCAATAATCATACAATTACATGTTAAAAGTTGAAATTGTATTATTAAATCATTAAATATTGTATTAAATAAACACTCAAAAGCAGTGCAGCCTGCAGCCCAGCAGATTTCAAGTAGTCCAAGGTATTAACTATTATACAAGTTCCCATACAATTTATACTTATTACAAAATTTTACTTTATTCATTTTAAGATCCTGATGTGTTATTGCAGTACACTATAATTTTATCTAATTAAATACAATTATTATGAAAATAAAAAATATAAATGATAATAAATTTAAATTTTTTATAAATAAACTTTCTATTAAAAGTCATTTTCAAAAATTATATTATAAACCAGACATCTTTTTAAAAGATATCTGAAAAAATAACTCCACTGACAATCAGCATATTTTTATAAGCTTAATTACTTGAACTGCTGATTTTTTTTTTTAAATGACTAGAAACATTTTTACATAACAAAAATTGAAACTATTGATTAATGATTACATTATTTTTTTCCCACTTGTGAAGAGCCCTATGATTCTGGAGAGGCGGACTAAGGAATGGTTTATTTGAGCATGTGCTTCAGGATGTGCGCCAGTCATTATTCCAGCCGAGTAAACAGAAAAGAACAAAAACCCCAGAATGGAAGACGGCCTGTATTTAACTCGCTGCTTTTTGCCTCTGCGGCACTCTGGTTGTTGAAGAAGTGTGTGACTTATGGCCGACCTTCACGCAATCAAACAAGCATTTCATTATTTATCGCACCAGCCAAGCTCCTTTTTTTGCTTCGGCAGACGCGAGAAAAATTCAATTTCAACCAGCATACTTTGTGCCACACACAGAATACGAAATGCGTGGGAGCGTTTGTTTTTCTCCTGCAGGTTTCTTTGTTGGAAACTGGTCGGTGCTTTTTTTCCGCCGCTTTTCGCCGTAATCACTCTTCTCGTCGGGGATTGCACGCGCTTTCAATTTATTGCTGTTGCACTTATTATCCACCGGCGAAGACGCTTCTCCAGATAATGATGCTGGTATAGTTGAGAGTGAGCGTGAGTTAGGAGCGCTTTCAAGTGGATATGCAGTTTTGTCTCTAATTGGCATAACAACTAAAACCAAAAGGAGGTGTTTTTTTTTCTCATTTCATGTTGTTATATTCCTTTGAAAATATTTGAATTTTTATTCAAAAAATAATTTTCTCAATTATTTCAAAAGCATTTTAATTTATTTGTTAACTATATATATCTCAAAAAAGTCTCCTAAAATTATAACATCAATGAAAAATTTTAGCACAAAAAAAAAAAAATCAAATTTGTTTTTACAAGAGTGTTTGGCAAAATTTTTAATGGTGGTGGTAATGCTCAGAATGGATCTTATAATTATTATTTTTTCCTTTGTTTATTTATATAGTTTTTACAGATCTAATTGAGAAACCTTGTCTCTTCTCTTGTGCTTCTTTTTACATTATTATTTTACCATTCTTTGATGGCACTTAATGATAACCTTTTATGTAGATGCTTTTAGCTCTTATATGCGGCGTGCTAAAAAGCAAAATTAAATCTTCCGTCTAGGCGGCTGCCATAAAATTAAATAATGGAATGTGTTGTGCGTTCTTTCATCACCAAATGAACGTTTTCACCTTTTGTTCGCCGCATACTTAACACAGAAAGACGATCAGTAAACAATCGGAGGCAGACAAAACAAATGGACAAAAAGCAGCGGAGCAAAAAGTGAATTTAACAGAATGGTGGCTCCGTTTTTCGATAACTGTATTGGCATGCGTCGATCGATCGTCAATACACACGAGAAATCCAGATCCCTTTTTATCCAACGTCATCGTCCAAACACTTGAATGGCAACTCAACACGTGCTCGCTCACATCAGGCAGTCCATAAATAAAATATGTTTTTTCTTTCATCTCGTCGCCGAACACAATGAACAAAACGGCTGAGCGGCTACTCAATTATCCTTAAAAGTAAACAAGAAAATCGGCAGAGAGCGAACGAGCGAATTTTTCGGTGTGGGAAATGACGAATTCATCATTTGCGAGATCACTCAAGCAGGGTGCACTGGTGATGTCGGTCCGGCGAGTGTGTCTCGATCGGTGCTCCCGTTTTTTTTCCTCCGGTGTGTGCAAAGACAAGGATGCTCGGCTTGCTGAAGCATGAGAATCCGATGTCAAGGCTGGGTCTTTGGCACTTGATGCGAGCAGTTAATTGCACAGAACCATCTCTCATATGCTATTCAATTAAATCTGCTGCTCATCCCGTGACGGCAGCGAAATTGTAAAAGCGCGCGGTGCGAGATGAAAT